GTGGACAGATGAGACCAAGATAGAGTCTGATTCGGTATAGCACATCATTCTACTGTTTACCGAAAACGGAATGAGGCCTACAAAGAACAAAACACAGTACCTACGGTTAAAATATGGTGGAGGTTCAATGATTGTTTTGGGGTTATTTTTTATGCCTCTGGCACTGGGTGCCTTGACTGTGTGCAAGGCATCATGAAATCTGAGGATTACCAAAGGATTTTGGGTCGCACTGTAGGGCCCAGTGTCAGAAAGCTGGGTTTGCGTCAAGATCCTGGGTCTTCCAGCAGGACAATGACCCCAAACATACGTCAAAAAAGCACTCAGAAATGGATGGCAAAGAAGCGCTGGAGAGTTCTGAAGTGGCCATGAGCCCAGATCTAAATCCCATTGAACACCTGTTGGAGAGATCTTAAAATTGCTGTTGGGAAAAGGTTTGTCCTTCCAATAAGAGAGACCTGGAGCTGTTTGCAAAGGAAGAGTGGTACAAAATTTGGGGGTGAGAGGTGTCAGAAGCTTATTGATGGTTATAGGAAGCGACTGATTTCAGTTATGTTTCAAAGGGTGTGCAACCAAATATTAAGTTAAGGGTGCCAATACTTTTGTCCAGCCCATTTTTGGGGTTTTGTGACATTATGTCATATTTGCTTTTCTGCCTCTGTTTTATATTTGTTCCAATACATACAAAGGGAATAAACATGTGTATAGGCAAAACATGTGTTAATGCAATACCTTTTTTGTGTGAAATATGATTTTCAGGAAAAAATATTCAAGGGTGCCAACAATTTCGGCCATGACTGTATACTCTCATAGGGTATGGGTCTGATCATGTAATAGGTTACTACTCTCATAGGGTATGGGTCTGATCATGTATAGGTATACTCTCATAGGGAATGGTCTGATCATGTATAGCTTTATACTCTCATAGGGAATGGTCTGATCCATGTATATAGGTATACTCTCATAGGGAATGGTCATGATCATGTATAGGTATACTCTCATAGGGAATGGTCTGATCATGTATAGGTATACTTTCATTAGGGTTATGGTCTGATCATGTATAGGTATACTCTCATAGGGTATGGTCTGATCATCTATACCTACTACTTTCATAGGGTATGGTCTGATCATGTATACCTATACTCTCATAGGGTATGGTCTGATCATGTATACCTATACTCTCATAGGGTATGGTCTGATCATGTATACCTATACTCTCATAGGGTATGGTCTGATCATGTATACCTATACTCTCATAGGGAATGGTCTGATCATGTATACTATACTCTCATAGGGTATGGTCTGATCATGTATACGTATACTCTCATAGGGTATGGTCTGATCATGTATAGGTATACTCTCATAGGGTATGGTCTGATCATCTATACTATACTCTCATAGGGAATGGTCTGATCATGTATACCTATACTCTCATAGGGTATGGTTTGTTCGTATACTCTCATAGGGTATGGTCTGATATGTATAGGTATACTCTCATAGGGAATGGTCTGATCATGTATATGTATACTACTCATAGGGTATGGTTTGTTCATGTATAGGTATACTCTCATAGGGAATGGTCTGATCATGTATAGGTATACTCTCATAGGGTATGGTTTGTTCATGTATAGGTATACTCTCATAGGGAATGGTCTGATCATGTATAGGTATACTCTCATAGGGTATGGTCTGATCATGTATAGGTATACTCTCATAGGGTATGGTCTGATCATGTATACCTATACTCTCATAGGTATGGTCTGATCATCTATACCTATACTCTCATAGGGTATGGTCTGATCATCTTTAGGTGTGGGTAGTGTTGCAGGATTATTATGGCCTGTGGTCTTAACAGAAGACCTGCAGATTTTACCTTGTTCCCCTTCACTTTATATATGGGAAATGTATAGCTCCAATTGAAACTATTTTTTCCAGCTTTGGATAGAGAGTGGAAAGGTTGGAGCCCATGTTGTTGCTGTCTGTTTCTGCTTGGGAGATTTAAAGCTGACCACACACCAGTAAATTGTATTCACAAACCTGTCATTTTTGGAATGTTCGATTTTCTAATGGTTACTGGTGTCAAATTAACATTTTATTTAGTGTAGTAATGAGAGATATCCAAGGAACAGCATGGTTTTGTTTGTTGAGCAAAATCTAACTAACTGAATGTGATTTTGTTTTTTTTTTTTTTTTTGTTTTGTATGTTTGGGGAAAAATCTTAGGTATTGTAATGAAACCTGTCAAACACAAGTTAGAGAGTTAATTCCGCTTAGTGGGAGAGGAGAAAATGGGTAGGAAAATGTTGAGAAAAATATTTTTGAAAGCTTCCTTTAAAGGGGAACTTTACCCTTTCAATCAACATTGACTATTTTTTTATGCTCAAGCTGCTACCATTAGTAAATAGAGAGGAAGGTATATCATATATACTTGTTTTTAAATTTTTTTTTTTCTTCAGTTACTTTCTGGTTTCAATGCCTAAGCAAATGATGTCATACATCCCAGGAGTCTTCAGGAGGGGAGGAGGGTCTTTCTCAACTAAGCCCACCCCCCTGCATGTCTGAGCTAAGGGCAGATGGATTTCAAAAGTAAATTATTAGATCACCATCTGAATCCTGAGTCGCCAACATCACAAATCACTGTAAGAAGAGAGAGACCCTTTTTGAGGAAAACTTCAACAAAAAGAGGTACTGAGATAAAATTACAAAAATTGACTAATTTTATCTCGGTACTACTGCTTCTTTTTTTGACGTTTGCCTCAAAAAGTCCCTTTTTTGGGGGGGTCTCACTTCTTTCAGAAGTGAATGCTGCATGAATCATCTGCCCGTATTCAAGATGGCCATAGACAGAAATGGTGGGGGGGTGTTTTTCAAAGTTATTTTTATCAGCAAAATAAAGAATGGAGCCATGGATGGACAAGTGAAATTTGCTTTGAATATTACAAATAAATGAACCACTTGGTAGCCGCGCTATAGCCGAATGACTGCTACAGCGCAGTTACCCAGTTCTGGGGAGGGCGTCATGACATCCTTCCAGAATGCGCCAGGGGGCGTACATTTGGTGATCTCTGTAATCACTGTGTCCTACGGACACAGCTGATCATGTGATGAGGTAAAAGGCCAATCACAGTGGCCTTTTTACCATGTGATTAGCTGTGTCCAATGACACAGCAAATCGCAGAGTAAATACACTTGCCGGTTATTGGCAGCACTTTCCTCACGCTGTCACAGCATAAGGAAAGTACTGCTGATTTACCGGCAGCTGTCACAGAGGAGATCGGCACTGATGATCAGCGCTGCCCATCAGTGCCGCCTATCAGTGACCATCATTGCAGCATATCCGTGCCTCCTCATCAATGCCCACCAGTGCAGCCTATAAGTGCTGCCTATGCATACCACCTCCTCAGTGCCCATCGGTGCTGCCTATCAGTGCAGCCTCATCAACGCACATCAGTGAAGGAGGAAAATTACCTGTTTGCAAAATTTTATAACTGAAACAAAGAAAAACTTTTTTTTTTTTCTTTTTTTTTAAATTTTTTTGCTTTTTTTGTACAAAAAATGAAACACCTAGTGGTGATTAAATACCACCAAAAGAAAGCTGTATTTGTATGGAAAAAAAAAATATAAAAAATTAATATGGGTACAGTGTTGCATGACCGCGCAATTTGTCATTCAAAGTGTGACAGTGCTGAAGGCTGAAAATTGTCCTGGGCACGAAGGGGGTATAAGTGCCCAGAAGGCTAGTGGTTAAACAGCAATTTTGAATAAAATAGACTTGTGCCTTTTTTTCTTTCAACCGATGTAATTTGAAGGACAGCAATATCTGTATATAAAGTATAGTACTATATGTACACATACATGAAATGTTATGGCAAGTATAGGACTGGCCAGATGGGTCAGACCCCCGTTTGGGTTTTAATTGTAAAATTGAAAAAAAAAAAAGTTGGCTATCATTTTTCAGAAGGTCAGCAATAATATCCTATATGAGCTATTAATGCTGGCTCTACTGCACTGAAATCCCTAGAAGTGTTGACAGTCCTGTCTAGTTTACTCCTGCTGGACTACAGAACACCCCCTTCTCCTAATCTCTATACATAAGGCAGAGGTGTTCTGTAGTCTAGTAGGGAAGAGCAGAGTCAGTGTTGTCAGCTCTTTATGGGAAGTTAGGAGTGGATTTCTAGCAATTATCAGGTATCTTTCTGAGTTTACAGTGTTTTTTATATAGACAAGCACAGGGTAATGTACATGGATTGTAGAGATGCACTGCTTATGTTTTTAATGTTCTTATTCTGCTCAGAGATGCACTTGAAATTAAGCCACCTCTGTAACTGCAGGCATTGTAGAGTCATTAATCCTCAAAGCCGACAGCAGAAGCAATCAAGTTTCATTCTCTCTCTCTCTGCAGTTTAGTTCTCTCTCCCTGAGCTTCTGTTATGTGGGTACATCAGAGTAGAAGGCTGCTAGGTCACTGTTGGGAGGGAGAGCTGAGCTGCTGAGTTACTGGTGAAAGGAGGGAGAAGGAGGACCTGAGTATCATGGTCACTGCTAAGAGCTAAGATGCTGGGGAGGCAGCAGGGGGAAGCGGAGATACAGTGTCACTTCTGGAAGGAGAGAGCAGGGTTTGCTTAGCTGCTGGGAGGAGGGAGCAAAGGATCTGAGATGCTGGATGCTGCTGGGAGTAGGGAACAGAGGGATCTTAGCTGATAGATCTTTGTTGGAAAGAGAGGGCAAGGGGAGCTTAGCTGCTGGGTTACTGCTGGGAGGAGGGAGCAAGGAGGATTGTAGCTGTTGAATCTCTGCAGGGAGGAGGGGCCGAACTTCTGAGAGGACTACTTGAAGAACTTGATTGTCCGCTGTGAACTTGCCCCACAGTGCCTGCAGCTACAAAGTCAGAGAGGGCTTGTTTTATACATTCACTGCTTGTGAAGAATATGTGAATAGTAGAATGTCAATAGCCTGGCCAAAAATTTATCTGAGGCTCCAACAATACTTTTTATAATTACTTACTATGATTTGGAGGTCTAATAACCAAGTCCAGTGACTTCTGCATTTGGAAATGGGCCGGGCAATTCTAGCAAAAAAAAAACAAAGGCATTGAGTCAGACATGCACAGAGTGTATCAACTATATTCCAGCTAATAAAGCAAAATAATTCATGCATTCTCTCTCCTTTTCAGCATCCAGTAACCTAAAGCTGAACTAAAGGCTAATCGGTTGTACTAGCAAGGGATTTTCTGACAGCAGGAGAGAGCAGAATGACCTAGAGATGAATGCCTCACTACTTTCATTGTCCAATCACAGGGTAGGGGAGGGACAAGACCTCTAAGTGTTTAACTGCAGCAGAGAAAAATCAGGTCTTCTTCCCTGCCGGATAGGGATGTACAATGGACAGAAACACAAATTCTTCATCGGGTAAAACTGCTTGCATATGTATATTTCATCTGTTTAATTGACTGCTTGCCTGAAGATTTATTAAAAAATAATGCTCTTCATCTGAATGAGGCTGAGTTGTGGGCCCATTTGCACTACTGCATTGTGGTAATGCACTTTGTGTACATTGGTGCACTATGTTGCCATTAATTTAGAATATCCCCTCCAAAACACCTCTGCAACACAATACTAATGTGGTGTTGTGCATTCAAAAGCCCATTTAAAGAAATGGGCTGCCTTAAAGCCAGACTTCAGGAATTAAGACGCTTTTTAAAATGTGCTGGCTTGTTGTGGGTTTAATCAAACCATGGATCCATGGTTTTATTTCTTTTACAGCTGTCACTATACTTACGGTGCTCTGACAGGAGAGATACTCCTTTCGGTTCACATAATACTCTGTGATTGGGCAAGAGCAGAGGAGGGGTGGGCAGAGCAGCTGTAGATAACTGAAGGAGTTGAGACCCAAAGGTCCAGCATCAGAGCGCTGGACGTATAGTGATAGCTGTACTCTCAGCACTCTGTAAAAATGCAAATTGTAAACTATAGAGGTAAGTCCACAAGGTGTCATGCACCTTATTGGACATAAATCATAGTAAGCCAGCACCTTTTAGAAAGTGGCTGAATTCCTGGACTTCAGCTTTAAATGTGTGTCCATAAACATATCGCAAATGCTCACCCTGATGCAAATGGGCCCTAATAGTGAAATAGATACAGCAACTGGGGAAAACATGTCAGGGCTGCAATTAAAACATTAAAGGTATTAATCCACTAGGGACCTGGGCATAAATCTATGCTGTATCAAGATGGTGCACTGCCATCCAGAAATTACATTACATTGTACAGGGCAAGAACCATGGCAGAGACAGAGGGAAGTTTTTCAAGTAGTAAATTAATAGAGGGTCTCTGGCTGTATCATTTAGGTACCATTTTAGGGCCTCAGAGATTCTAGTAACTCTTTGTTGACAAATGTAAAGCATTAGTTCATCCCTTTTAGTTAATTTTGTTTTTTGGGAGGTGCTTGAGAGCTAAACCACCTCCTATATCTCTGAGACCCTATTGGTAAAATATCTATGCTAAATTTATGGGTCTGCACTCCTGCTGTGGCCAGCATGAAAGACTCCCACCATCCCTGCTGGAATTTTTATTTTGTATTCTGGAGAATGCAACAGGAGGAGCTGAAACACACCAACATTGGCAGGAACACCCCAAACTCTCAGGTGGACAAGCATTTTGGCAGAGGGTTCTGAATAGCCAAGACATGTGAGGGACAACCTTGACCACAAGGCTTCACCATAGGTTAAAATATCTCCTAGCTGTCCAATTAAAAGCGAACTCTAACATGTTACACTCCTTCCCCATGGCAGACAGATTTGTTGTTCTCAAAGGAATACGGTAATGGGAGTGCGGTAGTCAATACACTCGTAGTCCATTGATCATTGTAAAATAACGTAGCAATGGGTAAAAGGGTTGATACATCATGTAGGATGGTGCCCCGTGGTATCTGATGGCCCTGATCTAAACATAAACCATAATACAAATATGGCAGAGACAGCATGTGAATATGCAATAACTAAAATAATTCAAAATCCATGCTTGCTGAAAATCCACTCAGATTTCCCAAAATGGCTACCTGTTTCGACTTTAGGTCGGCCATACAGAAGGTACATGTGAGTTTAGCACAGACTGGGGCTTCCACCATTGGAAGTCTTGTATTAAGTGTCCAGACCAATTTCTTAGCTTCTATAGTTGGGCCCCTCACTGTGTCCAGGATCTGCTCATTGTCCCGCACCAGCAGAGTACACATTCTCAGTTCCATGTTATTCTCAGGAGTATGTTTTTGAATACTGACCGATGTCTGTAAAAATAATAAAATAAATAAGAATGACAGACAAGGTGGATGCAAAACCACACTATAAACTCTTTAAACATGAATGTATAATAAAAGCAGGAATATTACTTATTCTGCTCTGGGGCTCTTCACCTTGTGGCCTTGGCCAGCACTGTGCAACCTTTGACCGTAGACAGTGGCATCTAGGTTAACTATCCACTGCCAATTCAGGCTGCTTGCTATGTTGTACAGCCCCACCTATTGAAGGTAGTGGGGGCAATTAAATGGAACCTGGCAATACATGGCTAGAATCTTGACTGAGTCCTGTAAATTCGAGCCACGGATGGCTTTGTTGACACCCCTTGGCTTGACAGACTTTGAAGGAGCTGAGTGGGGAAAAAAGTTGTCTAAACAGTGACTACAGCAAAACGGCTTCCGTCGATGCTCTGGTATTTTGACAGCAGTGCGTGTTTGATGTCAGAACACAAAAGCCAGCAGCAGGAGATTGTCCATATGGACTTCTCTCATTTAGCCTACTGGGCTAAACAAGAGAAATATTTGGGTATGACTAGCTACCCTGTCCATAGCACTAAAAGTCCAGACTACTATTGGAAATACAGCATGTCATACAAATGGGGTTGTGTGGAATACGGAATGTACAGCACATCATATATAATGGGACAGCATGTAATAAGGGATGTACAGCACAGTGTAAAAGACACAGCATAGAATAGGGAATACAGCACAGTGTGGAAAGTGGTCTTGTATGTGATAGGAAAGATATAATGCAGCATAAATAGTAGAATGAGGCCATGTGGAATAAGGAATGTACAGCACAGCATACAAAATAGAACGGTGTAGAATAGGAAACATATACTATATTGCCAAAAGTATTGGGACACCCCTCCAAATCATTGGATTCAATTGTTCCAATCACCTCCATGGCCCCAGGTGTATAAAATCAAGCACCTAGGCATGCAGACTGCTTCTACAAACATTTGTGAAAGAATGGGTCGCTCTCAAGAGCTCAGTGACTCCAAGCGTGGTACCATGATAGGTTGCCACCTGTGCAATAAGTCCATCTGTGAAATTTCCTTGCTACTAAATATTCCACGGTCAACTGTTAGTGGTATTATAACAAAGTAGAAGCAATTGGGAACAACGGCAACTCAACCACCAAGTGGTAGGCCACATGAAATGACAGAGCGGGGGTCAGCGCATAGTGCGCAGAATTCGCCAACTGTCTGCAGAGTCAATAGCTAAAGACATCCAAACTTTGTGTGGCCTTCAGATTAGCACAACAACAGTGCATAGAGAGCTTCATGGTATGGGTTTCCATGGACAAGCAGCTGCATCCAAGTCTTGCGTCACCAAGTGCAATGCAAAGCGTAGCATGCAGTGGTGTAAAGCACGCCGCCACTTTACTCTAGATCAGTGGAGACGTTTTCTCTGGCGTGATGAATCACGCTTCTGTCAGGCAATCCAATGGACATGTCTGGGTTTGGCTGTTGCCTGGAGAACAATATTTGCCTGACTGTATTGTGCTAAGTGTAAAGTTTAGTGGAGAGGGGACTATGATATGGGGTTGTTTTTCAGGGGTTGGGCTTGGCCCCTTCATTCCAGTGAAGGGAACTTTTAAGGCGTCGGCATAGCAAGACATTTTGGACAATTTCATGCTCCCAACTTTGTGGGAACAGTTTGGGGATGGTCCCTTCCTATTCAAACATGACGACTGCGCAGTAGCGCAAAAAATCAGGTCCATAAAGTCATGAATGAGTGAGTTTGAAGTGGAGGAACTTGCCTGGCCTGCACAGAGTCCTGACCTCAACCTGATAGAACACCTTTGGGATGAATTAGAGTGCAGACTGCGAGCCAGGCCTTCTCATCTGACATCAGTGCCTGACTACACAAATGTGCTTCTGGAAGAATGGTCAAACATTCCCATAGACACCCTCCTACACCTTATGGACAGCCTTCCCAGAAGAGCTGAAGCTGTTATAGCTGCAAAGGGTGGGCCAACTCAATATTGAACCCTATGAACTAAGAATGGGATGCCATTAAAGTTCATGTGCATGTAAAGGCAGGTATCCCAATACTTTTGGCAATATAGTGTATAGGACCGCATACAAAATGGGATGGTGTGGAACAGGCAATGTACAGCACATCATATACAGTAGGAGACAGTGTGGAATAGGGAATATGCAGCACAGCATACATAACTGTATAATGTGGAATAGGGAATGTACAGCACAGCATACAAAATGGGATGGTGTGGAATAGGCAATGTGCAGCACAGTGTACAAAACAGGACAACATGGAATAGAAAAAGAATGGGACAGCTCAGAATAGGATATGCACAGATTGGGGTGGTGTGGAATAGAAAATATGCAGCACAGCATGTACAGTAAAATAAGGCAGTGTGGAGTAGGGAATATATAGCACAGCATACAAAATAGGATGCTGTGGAAGAGGGAATGTACAGCACAGTCTAGAAATCAGAATATACAGCACAGCATACAAAATGGGTTGGTATGGAATTGGGAATGTACAGATTGAGTCAGAATAAAAAAGGAAACGTACAGCACACTGTGCAGAATGGGGCAGCATGGAATAGGGAATGTACAGCACAGTGCATAGAATTGGGTGTTGTTTAATAGGAAGCATACAGCACAGCAAATACAGTAGAACGAGGCAGCGTGAATATGGAATGTTAAGTAAAATGCATAGAACGAGGCAGGAATGTATTCATCACTGCTGGGTACACTGAGGGGGGTGGGTAGATGGTCTATAAAAGTGACAAAAATTCACAAAAGTGAAGTTGTCCTTTTTACTGTGTTTTGCCTATTGGGGTTGAATGGGGGCCAGCTTCTTTGACTGTTCAATCAAAAAATGTTGGTCAGAAGGGTGGCAACAGGGCCACCCAGGGAGGTGGCTGGGTCATGTCATCCTGAACTTGCTGAAATTTGCATATTGTATGGCCAGCTTAAGGCTTCGTTCACACCTATACAGTTTGCTTTTTGTCCATTTTGCAGTGCTTGTTTTGTGTTTTTCTACGCAAGTTTTTTGTTCAGCTTTTTTTTTTTTTATTTTGGTTGCAGTGGAATTTTGTTTTGTTTCTGGGCAGAGTAAAAATGCAAAACGCAAAATGCGGCAAAAAATGCACTACCATGCACTTCAGCAGATTCTCCATTGAACAAAATCTCTGTTTTTCTTTAAAAACCTTTCCAAAAAAGCATAGATGTGAACATTGTTCCATTGGAAACCATGTTAAATGGAGTGTAGTGTGTTTCTGCAAAAAAACACTAAAAAATGCATTGGTGTGAATGGAGTTCCACTCACTCTGTGAAAAAAAAAAATTAGTCAGCAGCTACAAAAACTGTAGCTGCTGACTTTTAAAAAAAAAACATCCACTCACCTGTCCCACAATCCCTTGTTGCCCCCACCGCAGCCTGTTTCACGGGCCGTCCTGTATTCCAGGTGCTGGCATCTTCAGTGTGCGCACCCGGCTGTGACAGCTTCACAGTCGGGTGCCCACTGCGCATGTGCGAATAGTGCTGCACTTCCTGAATGGTCCCGTTGTCTTCTGGGACCTGTCACGTGTCCCACAAGACTTTGGGGAGGGAGGGTAGGAGGACAACTTCCGTTTCCGATCGCAGCGGAAGTGGGAGCGTGTACCTGTCAAATTTGGGTACATGTCCTCCCCATCCGCTCCCCAAAGGTGCCAATCCTTAATGGGGAGCAGGGGACCAACCTTTAAAGCGGAACTTCCTTTTTGGGGTGCATCTCCACTTTAAGAGTAAATGCTGCACAAGGTACACCAATGAAGAGGCTGCAAGAGCGTTTGTGTTAGTAAACCTAGCACTGACCACCAGATATAAAGGGTGGACTGTTACCACGCTCTGCTAGGCGTACAGTTCTAGAGCGAGAGCAATAAAAGTACACCATACAAAATGAGCAAACTGCGCAGCAACAATGAGGACTTGGCCAGGTTGCACTAGCATACAGGACAGCAGTCCCAAACTTTTATCTTGCAAGTCTGACCTTGAGTAAGCTCCACCTTTTGAGTAAAGCTGACCACACATGGTTCATTCGAGGTGGATGGGGGAATCCTTCCTGCTGCACTATGGTATTCTGACAGTGGGGACATTCCCTGCTATCAGAATACACAGATCAGCGCTGCAGCCGCAGATCGGCCAACTTTTATCCAGAAGGGCGGTTGAACAAAGTCAATTTGGTAGACTGACTTTTGTTGTTGTTGTTATTATTATTATTATTATACAGTATTTATATAGCGCCAACAGTTTGCTCAGCGCTGTACATTACAAAGGGGGACAGAACATGCGATGGTACAATAACAATACAATGAGATACACGAGGGGTTAGAGGGCCCTTCTCTTTCGAGCTTACAATCTTGGAGGGGGGGATAGTGGTACAGGAGGAGATAGCTGTGGGGGATGGAGTGGTAGGAAGAGTGGAGGAGGTCGGCAAGTTAGCAGGGGGTGGGGTAGGCTTCCCTGAAGAGGTGGGTTTTCAGGGTGCGCCTAAAGGAGAGGAGAGCAGGTGATAGTCTGATGGGTTGGGGCAGGGAGTTCCAGAGGATGGGTGACACCCTGGAGAAATCATGGAGGCGAGCATAGGGGGAGGAGACCAGGGAACTACAAAGGAGGTCTTGTGAGGAGCAGAGTGTGTGTGTTGGGTGGTACTTGGATATTAGGTCGGTGATGTAATTTGGGGCAGAATGGTGTACAGTTTTTGTACGTCAGTGTTAGGATTTTGAATTTGATCCGTTGCGCAATCGGTTGGTAAGGTGAATGAGTCTGGCTGCCGTATTCAGGATTGACTGAAGCGGGGATAGCCTGTGGTGAGGCAGGCCAGTGAGGAGGGAGTTGCAATAATCGAGTCGTGATATGATGAGGGAGTGGATGAGCTGTTTAGTGGTTTCTGGGGTTAGGAACGTGCGGATTTTGGCGATGTTGCAGAGGTAGAGTCTGCATGAGTTTGTTAATGATTGGACTTGGGGCTGGAAGGATAGGTTGGAGTCAAGAATGACACCAAGTACTCTGGCCTGCTGGGCGGGTCTGATAGTCGTATTGTCGCTTCTCGGCCTTTTGGCTAAGATCAAGTGTAGTATCTGTTCTTATCAGTGTCCAGTGGGGGTGCTCCCAACCATTCTAGCTTTGCGGGGATGGTTGTTGTATAGTACCCTCACTGGTATGATGGGGGTCCGGAAGGCTGGACCGGAGGGACAGAAACCAGGGAGCGCCACGATTCGCTCTGGGGCCTTGGGAGTAATTCCTCTGGGAAAGCTGGAAAGACCCAGTTCCTCCTGATTTGGACGGATCTACCTTGGTCTGGCCAGGGGCTGGGGAAGCAAAAAGTCCGCAAACTCAGTGCCCCCTGGGGAAGACGCTCTCAGGGGGGTTTCACTAGTAACACTTGGGTGTGGGGCCCCACGGTGTGAAGATGACACATGGCCACTGTTTTTCACCTCTTTTTGCACAGTGCCCTAAGGACCAGGTCTTTTGGCTAAGTCCAGGGCAATTTTTGCTACGGGCCTCAGGGCCTGGTCTGTGCACAATTCGGCACGGTACCACTTTTTTTTTATTTTCTTTACTATTCTATTTAGTTATTATGCACTCCCACGTTTTGTCACTTTTTACTTTACTTATGTGTGTGTTTTTCACGGATGGAGGGTGTGGGTCCTCCGGCCTACCCTGAAGTCTAGGGGGAGGATGTGTGGCCTTTTGGTTCCTTCCTCCCCTGATCCCTAGGGGGCTTTCTCTTCGGGAGAGCCCCCTTGCCTAGTACTGGATGTCCGGCTTCGGCTGGGCATAAGGAACGGTGGTCCACCAGGCCTTTTGGCCAGGAGGACCAAATGGGAACCTTGTCCCTGTCAGCAGCTTCGTGCCCCGGGGGATCAGGGTAACGGTTCAACCCCTCCAGGGGTAGGACAAACACACCCCTAAGTGCACTTTTTCGTGTGGTGTTCGCACTTGCACATTTTTTTGTGATCACTTACGGGTTTTTCGTTGTAGTTTGCACGTTTGCGGACTTAAAAAAAAAAAAAAGTAGTATTGTTGGACGTGATGGAGAAGTCAATGGGGTGTGCTGTGTGGGCTGGGGTGAAGACTAGGAGCTCGGTTTTGGAGAGGTTCAGTTTAAGGAAGTGGAGCGACATCCAGTCTGATATGTCGCTCAGTAGGTTTGTGATTCTGGGGGAGACTGAGGGGGTGAGGTGGGGGGGTTGAGAGATAGATTTGTGTGTCGTTGACATAGAGGTGGTAGTTGAAGCCGTGAGAGTGTATGAGTTGGCCAAGGGAGAAGGTGTAGATGGAGAAGAGAAGGGGCCCGAGGACGGAGCCTTGAGGGACCCCAACAGAGAGGGGGAATGGGGGGGAGGTGGTAGCGTTATAGGTAACGCTGAAAGAGCGTTGTAATAGGTAGGATGAGAGCCAGGAGAGAGCAGAATCTCTGAGGCCGAGGGAGTGTAGTTTTTTGAGGAGGAGGGGGTGGTCGACTGTGTCGAAGGCCGCAGAGAGGTCAAGGAGTAGGAGCACTGAATGGTGGCCATTAGCTTTGGCGTTTAGAAGGTCGTTGGAGAGTTTGAGTAAGGTGGTTTCGGTGGAGTGTAGGGGACGGAAGCCGTTCAACTGCAATGGCCACACATCTATCAAAATTTGGCGAGTCCCTGCTGAACCAGCTGATTTTTGATCCTTAAGTTTCCAGTGATAACTGTACTAATAACATGAACTCTCTTGTTCCCTGATCTGTATAGGTTTGCTCTATTTGCCTGTTATGCTGGCCGCACACATTTAAATCTTATTTTACAATCTGCACAATCTTCTTTCAATTCACCAAAATTATCAATAGACCTACCTAAACAACACATTGCTTTTATATTCTATCAAGCAGGTCCTTTTACCACATAGTATTTGGTAGATATGTTGGAGATCATACAATCAGATTGTTAGGCATACTGCCAGCAAATTTAAAGCATATTTGGAAACTTGGTGTATAATTCATATGATAGCACAGTACAGCTTTGGCAGTTGCAAGATTCATGTTGTAATTTAGAATCTGTGTTTTATATAGAAATGAACAGGACTGCCTTCATTTATATTAGCTGCTGTAAAAGTAAAAAAAGAACTTGCCATCACTTGAATAGTCTGGTCTGGATCCAAAGTGGTTGTGTTCTGCTGGAGATCAGGACCATGGCGCAATTCTATTTGGATGGTGGGACTTTCACAATGTATATACTGATGAAGAACAAAGAGAAAACATTTTCTATCTCATCTCAACAGTAACTGTTTCTAAAACTGGTGTTTATATCATCATGTTGGAGATCCACAGATACATTCAATGTTTATGCAGTAAAATGAGCCATGTGCACATACAGTATATTACTAACACATATTTTGTGATCAAAGACCAGGGAAGTGGGTTTGTAAGGGGGTGTTGGCATCATTCCCATTTTGCCCCCTGGGTGGCACCCTCTCTTGGTAGGAGTTTGGGCGGAAAGTACAAAGACAGGAGCTCAGTTCCCTAGTTGGGGCCCTTTCTGCAAAGGTGTAAAGCTTTTAGTGTCTGGTATTTCCTGGTGAGAGAATACCTATTGAGGGCCAGAGTAGGACTGAAACTGGAGACAGAATTAGCAGTGTGCTCAACTGGGTTGAAGTTCTGACCGCAGTCAAATACCAAGGTGAGAAGCCAAGTATGGAATATAATGTGCTCTGAAATTATACGTTTGCTGTCATTGTCTGCCCTTAATCTGGAAAGTAAAGTTTTCAAATGCATTGACCTATCTGAGGAACGGTTAACCGGTTTGACCGGTAAGCAAGCGGGGTAGAGTGTGGGGCATAGAACTGTATATGTGCTGGTAGAGGTACACGTAACGGCTCTCCTCAAATGTGGGGACGTGTACTAACATTGGAGAAGGACAACTAGGCCTATTAGTGGCACTCATGATTGGAACTTATTGCCCACAAGGGATGGCCCCTAATACAGGTTGATGGTGTGTAAATATTTTATACCATCTGGTTAGACTAGATTTTGGGATTGGATGGTATTATACAGGATTTAAACAGTACCAACAGTTTGCACATTGCTTTCGGCCAGTTCTGCCTAGATAAGTGTATATGAATTAACTTCGGCATGTAGCTGTCCTCTAGAAGGCATAAAGAAATTTGGCTGGCTGTAAGTGGATGGCCAACCATTTTACATCCTTTTGGCCAACCACTTCTAGATGGTTAAACATGCAGTCAAGGTTCAACAATCAGTTGGCAAGTCTCAAAAGGCCTCCTATGGGTTCCTGCAACAAGTATCCTATGGATACTAGCAGCTGAGATCCCAGATGTTACGATCAATGGTGGCATTTCCAATGTCTGGCTGAAAGGAGCCATGCATCTCTCCCGCTGGAAGTATCTACCTGACAGTATCTGCACATCCAGTGGTTATCTGCTGTTGGGGACAGATGATTGAAAGTTGGACACCATATTCTCTTCTTGAGTTGGGGAGTCTATTGCTCCTGACCCTGTGGCTTTCCCTAGACTTTGTCTTACTTTTTCCTTCTCTCTCCTTCCACATGGTTTATTTTGAAGACCGATTGGTCGTCACCTGCTGTAGATACCATAATGACAGTCCTATGATTCTTTGGAAAATATTTCCTCAGGATAGGGCTCTCTACACGCTTTTGTTGTTTCTTTTGAATGTGTCCTATGTATTCAATAGCATGATTGCAGGCTTCACAGCCTTCTGCCCTATGGTGCATCATCTAGGCCCCTGATTGGGCCTTATATGTGTATCTATGTGTCCAAGTCAGGGGCGGACTGACAACTCATGGGGCCCCCGGGCAATAGGGGATCATGGGGCCCCTGTGTCCTCGCCCCCACACCCGAAAAAGACAATGAAAGGTACCAGGGGCATAGGCCCCCTACTGACCCTGGGCCCTCGGGCAGTGCCCGAGTGCTCAAATGGTCAGTCCGCCCCTGGTCCAAGTATATTTCCATGTCCTCTATTTGCTGGTGCAACTTTGTATCATATGAGTTGTTTTGATTTGTATGTTTTTTTTTTTTTTTCCACCATGTTTAATAAAATGTTTGGTACCAGAAAGATGGACACAATATATATCTGGGTTTCTCAACTAGGGTTCCTCCAGAGGTTGTTAGAGGTCCTTTGAGCAATTTCTGCCTCTCAGATAAGTTCCCACTGACACCATTGATCTTTTTTGCTATTTGTAAGGGGGTAATTCTTCCACAAGTGTAAGTAGCATTCTTCTCACGGACCATCACACCAAAAAGCTACTTCCTCTGTATTGAAAAGGTTGAGAGAGACTGCTCCATATACTGTAATGCAAGATTATTCAGCTGCTGACCGACTACATGGTAATAGAATTTTGTTTTTTGGTCATTCTATATGTTACAGTGGAAGACCAACTGGTGACAACCAGGGCAGACAGTGGGGCATGAATGAGAAATCCTTCCATCTGTCCTGCAGCAAGCTACAAGTCCTTGTTAGGGACAGATTGGCTCAGAGGAGAGGTCCTTCATCCGACTCTCAGCTGATGGTCAGAGTACGGCTTATCAAATGGTGAACAGTAAGTATTCAGTTTTAAATATAAGCGTGCATTACCAAAAAGTATATTTTATAGCTGATCAAATCAAAGGCACTCCAGAAAGTGACAGGTCTTATAAATTATTAACGAAGATTCTATTGTAGACCAGTTCTATGAAATGCTTGGTCACATACCTCTTTTCCCGATTCTCCTTTTATATTTAGCTGAAAAAAAGGAAAAGAAAAACGGAAATTGTAAACTAAAGAGTTATATATGCCGTTATTGCAAATAGCTGTGATACAATGTGCAGCAAAAAGAAATAATAGTCAAAGAACTGAACAACCCCACTTGTTTCATGTTCTAATGGTCAGTGCCTCATTGGCTTCTCTATTTTTAGTGCAGCAATTGTTGCTTTTTCCAGAACCCCATACATCTTGGTATTCATTTTCTATCAGATACTGAAATTTTCTGTGGCAGATTGAAGCATTTACTAGTCAGGTTTAATGTAGTCGAACATACAGGAAATCTGCTGAGCTGTGGGTAACTACCAGGGGCGGACTGACAACTCATGGGGCTCCCAGGCAATAGGGGATCATGGGGCCCCTGTGTCCTTGCCCAAACTCAAAAAAGCCTATGAAAAAGATACCAGGGGCATCTCATGGGGCCCACTACTGACCCCGGGCCCTCAGGCAGTGCCTGAGTTTCCAAATGGTCATTCCGCCCCTGGTAACTACTCCAGCCCCTTCAACTTGTGACTTGCATTCATGGCTCGTCGTTTAAAGTGGTATTAAACCCAAAAGTCAACATGTACTATATTGCAGCGTACCAATTCCTAAGATGTGATAGCTGCATTAGTTTTTTCTTTTTTTTTGCTTTCCTTCAGACTCACTGGGTGAGTCTGCCCATATGTCTATTGCTTTTCAACAGGACCAGCTGTCCTGCAGGTCTAGCAGTTATATGGTTGAGACAAACTGTTTACCACTGACAAGGGTGCTTACAATAATCAGCTTTTATTTATGTAAAACCTTTATCCAAAGATGAAGAAAAAAAATTACTGGAACTGCTTAAAAATTGTTAGCTGAAGTTTTGGCTTTGATTTGTTTGTGTATTTAAATCGGCTAGTACATCTCACACTCCCTTCTCTCTAGACTGACAATGCTGCCGTCCAAAGGTGTCCCCTTTGATCCTTCATGCAGAGTGGAGGCGCTCTAATACAGCAGGTGAGTTACTGGCGAGATAACCAGGTGAAAACAGAGAGGAAAAAGACTAAAAATATTGCAGCCTACCAGTCCTTAGATGTGGTGGCTGATTACATTTTTTTTTTTTTACAGTTTTTTTTTTCACTTTTATTTTAACCTGGTAATCCTTCCATTAACACACTTCCTGTCCTAGGGTGACAACCATACTGAGCAGCATTGTCACCCTAGGACAGGAAGTGTTAAATAGTTCTAACACCTCCCTCTGTTCATAGCAGGGCAGGTGTTTTGTAGTCCATGGAGATAACAGGGAACAATCCTAACTAATATCCAAAGGCAGAGAGCACAGGGATTTGTTCATAGATATAATAAAACCCCTTCCAATGGCATAAAAGTGTTACTAAACCCACAACTGTAAAATCAGTCTGTATATGCAGTAAAGCATGCTTGTTATACTCGCTGTGGAAACTGAGGGGATAATCCTCCACATTGTGTAAAAAGGATGTTTGATCCTGTTTTCTCTGATCCTCCCCTTCCTCCAGTGTCTCCTAAATATCTCCTGATGAGACATATCGTATGGAGACACTCTGCACATGCTCAGTTTAGTGTGTATTGCTAGAGTTTTTTTTTTCTTGGGAGAGTGCGTGTGATCAGCACAGGGCCAATTGGCACTGTCCAGACAGAGGACAGGGGTCCTGCATCCTCCTACAGGAGAATGAAAGCTGTAACCAGTGATCTACTGAACACTGCAAGAAGTCACAAGACTGCTGATGAGAAAAGGTATTTAGCAGTTTTATAATTACTAAAATAATTGCATTTTCATGTTGTGTGTATTGTGGGAGACCAGATATAGTGAATGCCGGGTCCAGGGTTTAGTAACACTTTAACAGACGGAATAGAATTTTGTTAGAGTTTACATACACTTTAGGGTAAACCCTGCAATTGTAATATGCTGATCATACTTTCCCTTTTTTATAGCCCCCCAATTTACTTACCGAGTTTAACATATACCCATTCCTGTAATTGGACATACATTCGTTCCTTGAGGCAACCAGCACAAGCGAGTTGTTCTCCAGTTTAGCAGTACATTTAGGGTCCTCCAGGTGTATGTTCTCCGGTTCGGGAAGCTGACAATTGAACTAGGAAGCAAACATAAACTTTTTTGAGCTTTAGTACTTCCTCCCAAACAAACCTCATATCATGTGTTGTTACTTTAAGCCTAGGCCAACGTAAATTGGTTGTAAACCCTCACGTATACCCAGTGAAGTGACTGGCCTCAGGTGATACACTGAGATGAAACCGATCCTCATACATACGTTGTACTTGTTTATCTACAGCTGTCTTTCCCCCACATCCATTCAAAGTGTTGAATTTACAGAGGATCTCTCAGCTCTGAAAAGCAGGGGGCAGGGAGCAGGGAGCTGAAGTTACATCAGTGAGGAGAGCTCTGAGAGCTGGATTGGAGGGAAGGGACCCCCACATGGCTCACGGGAATTAAACTGAAGCTGTCAATCTGCTGGAGGTCAATCCCCTGTCACCATTTTCCTCTTGGTGTCAGGAAAACTCATCAGAAGTGCTTTTAGCAAAGGAACGAGGCAGTGGACAGAAATGACACTTAAGGGGAAATTCAACTTGTTAAATTAAGCTTTGACAAAACCTGGAAGCTGATTAGTTCTATTCAGAGCTGCACCAGATTGTGCACCATGCAGCTTTAGTAAATCACCCCATTAGTGCTCTGAATTGAGACACACTACAGAGGGATATGCTTTGTTCATATTTCATGTCTGAGGTTTACAACCACTTTAAATGTCTGAGAGACATCCTCCGTATCAAATGGGCAACTTGCCACTAAAGCTGGCCATACACTAGCATTTTTTTTTGAAGAAACGTTTATATAAACATTCTCAGTACACTCAATCACTTGATGAATGTTGTTTGAAAGTCTTTCCAAAATCAAATGTGAAAAGCAAACAAACTTTTAAACTAATAAACTTTCTCGAAGAAAAACATTAAGTCTAGGTTCACACCCATGCAGGTTGCGTTTGAGCCGTTTCTGCATTGCGTTTTTTTTAGTTTTTTTCTTGTTGCTAGGCAGATTTAAAATGCATCAAAAACGCAATACATACTTTTCTGCAGCGTTTCCATTGAAGTCTATAGAAACAAAAAGGCAACTTTTTGCGTTCAAAAAAGTCCCTGACCATTTCCAAAAAACACACCAGGTGAAAATGCTGAGATGTGAACATGTCCTATAGGAAATCATGTTAAATGGACTGTACTGCGTTTCTGCAAAACGCTCCGGAAAATGCATAGGTGTGAACCTAGGGTAACTGTTAGAAATCCAGTCGAAAAATTTTCCATGCTGCTCCTTTGAATTTTCTTGTTGCTGCGGTCAAAAATGATCATAATAGAATAATCAGACAAACTTTCTTGAAATGAAGCATTTTGAACAAAATTCTACTAGTGTATATAGAAGGAATCTATTGGCAAACTTGTGATACTCTCATACTACTGCCTTCTTGGTTGACGTAATCGTCAAATCTGGAAATTACAAAACATAGACAAATCTGTAGTGTAGCAGCCTCCTAGATAGGTGCTAGGATTAGTTGGATTTGGAAGGAAACAAGAGAAAAGAGGGCAGGCTGGCCTAGTGCATTATCCCAAGGGAGTTTATTATAGCTGAATAAGAACATATATGTTCGCAAACAAAAGTTTTTGGGTTACAATGATATGGAAATATATTCAAAGACAAGCCCTCTTCCTCAGAGTCAAAAAGATGGGATCCATTTGATACATCTTAAATACCCTACCGACCATATCATGAGAACCATAGACCTCACCCAAGGGGTGGACGACCACAGCGAAATCACATGTCCAGGCTGCTACAAGAATACACTATCTAACTTCCCTCCACCATGCCAGACATAGGGCCACCAGCATGCTACACAACTCCGCCATATTGAAATACAGAAAAATAAAAATAAAAGAATTAAAAAAAAAAAAAAAAAATGATTTTGTTGCCGTCTCCTGCCCCCTGGGATGAAGAGGAGACTATGGTTCTCATGGCATGGTCACTAAGGTATTTAGGATGGATGAAGTGGATCCTTGTCTTTTTGGTTTTAAGGAAGATTGTCCTGCCCTTGAAATGCGTAAGCCAGTGCAGATTCCCAGAATGTGTCTACTTGGTGTTTTATATTCATCTGGGATCTAACCACCTTTGTGATTGTAGACCACTATTTCCATATCATTGTATCCCAAGTTTTTGTTTGTGACTATATATGTTTTTACACACTTATAATAAACCCCCTTGGGATAATGCACTAGGCTTCTTTTCTCCCAGCCAGTTGAAGGCAGCAAGGTTGCTTAGATCCCTTGGCTATCTTGTTGACACAAGGACTGTTATGAGTCCTCCACACTCATGCACAGGAGATTTTGGAACTGTATTAGATTTGGTGCTGGCTAACTGTGTTCAGTGGAGCTGGGTATATTCTTGTCGGGTAAATTTTAGCTTGCCTCACTGTATTCAGTGTGGCTGCAATTGATTAGTTAGGTCTGTTCAGTGTTCTCAGATGCTTCCAGTCTGATAGCTCCCTTTTGCTTTTCAGAAATCAGTAGAACTTTCTGGATTATAGGTGTGGAGCTATGTAGATGGCAGCATGCATATTGATACAGCCCTGGCCAATCCCAGGGAGCAAAGCCCTGATGGCTGCTGGGAGACTGTATATATTCTCTTAGCACACTGAGCTCAGGGTCTTTTCCTGCTGAGGATCAGTCCAGCCTGAAGGGCGGCTGCCCTCCATGGCAACAATGTCATGTGCTCACTGTTCGTGCTGCCCCAGGTGGGCTACCTGAAGGCCTGAATGCTGAAGCTACTTAGAGCTGACTGAAGATCTAGTCTGTTTTCACTGGAGGAAAGTGTCGCTTAGAAGTTGGAAGGAGGCAACCAGCTTTCCCTGGACATTTTGTGAGTATACACTGTTTAGACATCTTAGAGACTTTTGGGTTAGTGCCACCCCTCCCTACCACCACCACCTTATGTGCTAGAGAGCCAGCTGTGTGTTTGCTAAAGGGGGCATCGGTTTTTGGCTATGACTAAGGCTACACGCTGAATGGCGTAAGCCCTGTATTATTTTGTACTTAATCTGGATTCCTTTTATCTACATGAGTGCTTTTAACTACTACAAGCCTATAAGTTTGCTTTATGCTAGGACTTTTTTTTCAGCCTTAAAAAAAGGAGGTCACTGCCCACAATTTGTACATAGTTTTTTTTTGGAGTATCCCACTCAATTCCCTCATCCCTATTCAAGATCTTCAAAATAAAAGCCGCAAAAAAAACCACACCCCTAGAAAAACAGTCATTGTGGTCATGTGCCTTGCTGTGGGGCAATCCACTGGGGAAATTTCCAGTGGCTCCTACGGAAGTAAGAGCTTGTGACGGGAGTGACTTTTGGGGGTGGGGGGACCGCTTGGTCAGCTCATGTCCCCCTCATTATGTTTAACCCACCCTGTGCCTCTTAAGGGGTACAGGGTGTAAATGTGAATGTCCCAGTCTTGTGTATAGTGTGTGTTCCTTTGTCCCTGCCATATGGTTGCCTATTGTTCTATGCCATGTGCTACCCCCATTGCTCTGTGTCTTGCCATGTGTTCCTGCATTGTCTACTGCCATGTGGCTATTCCTTTGTTCTAAGCCACATGGCTGTCCATTGTTTGTTTGCCATGTGCTTCATCCCATTGTTCTGTGTCTTGGGTTGGTTGGGGAGGTTCCCTGTAGCCCTTCCCACTGATAGGGCGGGCTGATGATGTATTTCCTGTTCCTGGTTGTGTTTCCCCGCCCTCTGTATATATTCTGTGTTTTGTGTTAAAAATAAGTAGTTGGCTTTGTGTATTAAGAAGAGCTGCGTTCTGTCTGTTTCCTGAGGGATTTCAAGGGTGTGGTCCGTGGATGGTGTTCGGACAGGGGAAGCTGTGGTATAACTGAAAAACTCAGTGCGGTCTGGGTTCCGGTTCCGTTACAGAGCTACAGTAGCAAATCAGATCACCTGTAGCAAAGATGGAGGAGTCCCTGGCTCATTCTGTGGGTTTTTGAGCAGTTCAGAGAGCAGACATAGTTTTGAAAGGCTCAACCTCAGGCTGGGCACTGCCCTTCATTTTTTGGCTCCCCATCCTGTAATGATTTGAGTACTATTCTCTGCAGCATTCTCCTGTGAGCCTAGTGAGATTTTATGATGCACAGCCAGGGGTGTCTCTATGACTTTTTGGGTTTAAATGACCGAGGATGTCATTCAACCCAGAAGAGGATGGCGGTGCATTGCAGAGTGCTACGTCTACAGAGAAAGCTCTAGTCATAGTGGGAGTATGGCATTGAGAGCTACCAATTTATTTTAACCTGTGCAGGGCATGCATAAGCTGGAGCTGGGTGGTTAGACCTCAGTTAGGTTTTCCTTTTAAAGACTTGACAGTAGCAGGGAAGGACATGGCTGTGTGGTAGTGGTCTATTTGCCCCTAGACTAGTACTAATAATCTGAGGAGGGTGCACTAAAGTTGGCCATATACTGGAATGTATTTTTTAGTTCAGCCAGCAGGCAGATTCCTCAATACACACAAACAAAGTAGATGGATCCCATTGGGGTATTTTATTGTATTGACAGCTGCACCATCTATTTACAGTATACGAAAGCCAAATGATGAAGGAAAATGTTCCCAACATGTTTAGGAACCTAAGCTTTCACCAATTAATGGCACGCTTTACATGGTACAAGCTGTTTAATTGAATGATATTTCAATAGAGCTTTATCCCTTGACTCAAAGCTCTTTATCTGTTGTTGAGGCAGACTGTGAGGAAGACAAACTTGGTAGAATATACTCCGTATATCCATGGAGTGTGAGAGGAAACCCAGGCAAGCACAGGGAGAAGATGCACCAGAAATGGGACTTGATCTATATACCCCAGGGCTTGTCACTAAGCCAAGGAGCTGCCCATAGAAACCTGTCCTTGTGAAAGGGTCACTTGAATGTGTTTGACCACAATTAAACCCCCTGGACAGCAGGCCTGTTCTTTAGCTGCCCTTACCTCTGGGTTCTTTTCCAGTTTGATGACCAAGTATTCATCTGTACACACTGACTGTCTCCTGAAACACTGACCTTCAGATATGGATGGACTCGGAGTTGTTGGGTGGTGTACTGCCATATAAAGAGAGAGACAATCAAACCTTTTTAGACACCATTTTACTCACAGCTTGTAGAAACTCCTCAACAGAAACCCACCCTAAAGTATAGAATGACCTGCTCCCAACTTTGCCTGCCATTTTATAATAATCAGTTAGCATTTAAAGAGAACCTGACTCATTCCAAGCTATTTAGAGCCTTAGGCTCTATGCACAATGGCTTTTTTAATTTAGCTTATTCTTTTCTGGAGCCCACAGGTGGGCTTTAAAATACCAAAAATGTTTTAATGTTATTTTGAAATGTAGAGTATAAAATACAGCACTTTTGATTTTTTTTTTTTTTGTGTGTGTATTAATACTTCATGATTGTAAGCTCCAAGGATCAGGCCCTCTTAAGCCTCTTGTATTGAACTGTATTGTTGCTGTATTGTCTCCAGTTATATTGTAAAGTGTTGAGCAAACTGTTGGCGCTATATAAATCCTGTATAATAATACTAATAATGATCCATGGAATGGGGGTGCGGCTGCATACTTTTGTGCCGATAGATGACCCTCTTTCTCATCTCACAGAATTGGGAGATAAGTCAAAGGAACGACTATGACACAGGTCTTGTGGGAAAATGTACAAAATAATGAGAGCCATGCTGTGGAGTAGGTGGAAGAGGTACTGAAGCAGGGAGGGGTGCAAAAAAGGCAAGGCCTGCAATCTATGCTGCAGAATAAGTTCCCAGCCCAAGAAGAAGAGGAAGAATGCACTTTGGCCTTTGTGCCTTGGATGATAAAGGGCTTTGTCCCAGCACAGGCTATAATGGTTTTCTGGTCAATTTAATATTAGCTGTATTTACATGTGTTTTTAAACTAATGTTCCATAGCTGTGTTTTTACCATTTCCAAAAAATCTGTTTTACAAATAAACATTTAATTTAAAGGAGCACTGCATTCACAGAGCAGAATAACCTCTGTAAAGGTGACAGAACAACTGAAGCTAAAATCTCTATGGAGCCTCCTAAAGGCAGTGAACAAGCGGAATTACTGCTCTTGAGCATTCACTTGTGTATGTTTTAGCTACTGAGCTCTGTGAACAGCAGTACAAAATATTTTATATGCAATATTTGTTAGCTACCTGAAAAATAATTGTATAAACTTTTTTTTCTTTGTCCTGATGATCCAGGGAATATCTGATTGCCTCTCAGGGGATCTGGAAGGAATTTTTTTCCCTGCCGGAGCAAATTGGATCATTCTTTACTGGGTTTGTTGCCTTCCTCTGGATCAACTGTGGGTATAGGATTATAACTTTTTTTTTTTTTTTTTTTTTTTTGGTTGAACTGGATGGACTTTTGTCTTTTTTTCAGCCAGACTAACTATGCAACTGATTAAAATAAATATAGAACAATTGCACATTGCCTTTAAATACATATAGTATATACAGATGGATTCGCCATAACTCACCACATGACATAGATATGTTTACAGATCTGGCATCAGCAACACGTATTAGCGTTATGGTTTCTGAACTCATATTCTCAGCTTTCTCCACAATTTTATTATATGTCTCGTGCAGGTCAGCATTTAACTCCATACCGAATAATTTATATGTTCCAGACGCCTTGAAAAAAAAAATACGGAATAAAACATATTCAGAGGTCTTTTGAAGAAAAATACAAAATGTACCACTTGAAAAGTCCTTTAGTAATTCTGGCCATACACCGATTAAATGTAAGCCAATTCCTATGAAATTGACCAAACCTCAAGCTATGGGTGGACAATAGCGTAGCGTTAAACTTGTAAGGCATAAAAAAGAGCCACATGTATGTACAGACATAGTCGCAAAAAACTGTCAGAAGATCATTTTAACGGATTGGCAACAACGGGACACAAATCCAATGCAGTGAACATATTGACACATTTCGTCCTGGCCGACCTTTTATGACTGATAGTGTCAACATTCTCTATGCATAGGATTTATGTAACTCCTGTTGGATCTTTAAAAAAAAAAGATTTTAACTGAATGTATCACATTGTTGCTGACCTTATAGTTTGGATGATCAAGCTATGGGTGGGCTTGCTGGCATCAACTGGATCAGCAAACTGGTCTGAAAATTCTCAGCCGAAAAGTGACTGCAGCCAGTCAACATGAACTATGGCGTCGCTACCTAGTAAGACATTGAACAAGCAATGCAGCCAATGACGTCTGCAAAGTCTGAACTGCCATCCTGTACACTAGTTCTTAGGTCTGTGACTCACTAGATAGTAAAGGAAAATAGGATTAAGCTCAAGAGAATGCACCTTTAAATGAAAGCCAGCAAACACAGCCCCCACTCTGCCCAGAGTTTCCTTTTTAAATGAAACCTCCTTCCAGATCTGGACCAGGGCATCACTGAGCTCCTGGACAGTCTCAGGTGCAACCTGGCGGCATTGGATGGATCGAAGCATGATATCCAGAGGTATTCTATTGGATTTGGGTCAGGCGAGCGTGGCGGCCATTCAATGGTATCAATTCCTTCATCCTCCAGGAGCTGCCTGCATACTCTCACCACATGAGGCCGGGTATTGCTGTGCACCAGGAGGAACCCAGGACCCACTGCACCAACATAGGGTCTGACAATGGGTTCAAGGATTTCATCCCAATACCTAATGGCAGTCAGGGTGCCATTGTGTAGCCTGTAGAGGTCTGTGCGTCCCTCCATGGATATGTCTCCTCAGACCATCACTGACCCACCACCAAAACAGTCATGCTGAACGATGTTACAGGCAGCGCAACGTTCTCCATGGCTTCTCCAGACCCTTTCACATCTGACACGTGTGCTCAGGGGGAACCTGCTCTCATCTGTGAAAAGTACAGGGCGCCATTGGTGGACCTGCCAATTCTGGTGTTCAATGGCAAATGCCAATTGAGCTCTATGGTGCCGGGCAATGAGCACAGGGCCCACTAGAAGACGTCGGGCCCTCAGGCCACCCTCATGAAGTCTGTTTCTGATTGTTTGGTCAGAGACATTCACACCAGTGGCCTGCTGGAGGTCATTTTGTAGGGCTCTGGCAGTGCTATTCCTGTTCCTCCTTGAACAAAGGAGCATATACCGGTCCTGCTGATGGGTTAAGGACCTTCTAGGGCCCTGTCCAGCTCTCCTAGAGTAACTGCCTGCCTCCTGGAATCTCCTCCATGTTCTTGAGACTGTGCTGGGAGACACAGCAAACTTTCTAGCAAAGGCACGTATTGATGTACCATCCTGGAGAAGTTGGACTGCCTGTGTAACCTCTGTAGGGTCCAGGTATCGCCTCATGCTACCAGTAGTGACACTGACCCAAGCCAAATGCAAAACTAGTGAAAAACAGTCAGAAAAGATGAGTAGGGAAAAAAATGTCAGTGACCTCCACCTGTAAAACCATTCCTGTTTTGGGGGTCATCTCATTGTTGCCCATCTAGTGCACCTGTTAGTGCACCAAAGAAGCTGAAACTGATTAACAACCCCCTCTGCTACTTTACCAACCAGATCAATATCCCAGGAGTTTAATTGACTTGATGCTATACTCTGATTAAAAAGTGTTCCTTTATTTTTTTTGGAGTTGTATGTGTGTGGTGTGAATAAGGCTCTTCACACTGTACTTTTTTTTTATTGCTGTCTGTGTCCCTGGGGGATTTCCCTTCAGTTCCTGTTCTGTCTGCCACTCCTCAAGTAGACAGCATGCAGGGAGATTTTCCTTCACTTTCTGTTCGGGTGAAATGTACCAAGTGGACATGACCTGAGAGAACCTCTCATAAATGAAAACACAGGCATCCATTAACATCTGAGATTCTAACACTTTCACATTTTCCAAATTCAGATTTATTACACCCCCATGTCCACAGCATAATATACAGGAAAATAAATAGTCCTGCTCATTTATCAAAGCTGAGTATCTGAATCCCAGATCAAACATTTGATATATTGCAGGTTAGCAGCCCTTAGACTGGCCATGTTAGATCACCATTTCAACCCCTTTTTCTCATTCTATTCACCTGGTGATCCTGCCATAGGATATCGGGGAGGTGTTCTGTAGTCCTAACACACTGCCCACATGCAACACTGCAGTGTTGCCAAGACAACAATGGATTTCTGGCAGGATCCACTGGGTGTTTCTGCACTTATTGAACACACATAACAAAACTCTTTCAATTTGTATATTTAACAAACCAAAAAAGAAAATGAGAGAAGTCCATTGGAAGGGGTTGTTTAGACTTGCAGTTGGGGGCGATTAAAACATGCATTTGAAATTTGTTTTTCCTGCCCCCCTACCCCCAATTGCCCCCTTCAGCTGCAAATGAGGTGAATGGTGTTGTTCACGTCGTCTCAATAAAAAGTTTCCTCCTGGCTGCATATGGCAGACAGTAGTTTTGCTGAATGCAACCCGTTCAAGCGAATGGGCCGCAAGGCAAATACTTTGCAACTGCATGCAGTGCAGCATTTTCAGATTAAAGCAGGTGATGAGGAGGTGACATATTGCCTTCCCACCGCATGTCAAAGATAGCTGAAAAGTGATCCAAATGTGTATCTCTTTTCAGAGGCACAGCAATCTTCCTGCATGTCTAAACTTAGCCCTAAGAGTTTACATGAAAACATATGACTCTTGGCTTACCTGTACAGCGAGAGATCCTGCGGTTGGAATATTCCATTTGTAGTGGGGGTCACTCACCAGGAATAACATGGGTGGCTTGGCACATGGTTCATTGAGAGTTGTGGTGTGAATGTCTATTGTGTTGTGGCTGGAAAACAGGGTGAGAGGTATTGTGTGTTATTGATTAGCTCCTACTATGGACAGCACAGGAGACATGACCACTTTCTGCAAATATAATCATTGCTAGTTGAGTTTCTTTACATTTTCTCTGAACTATAGGTAGGCTTTTCCTTTTTTCTTTTTTTTCTGTTGTGTATAGACCATGTGACTATAGTTGTATATATTTTGTTGTGCTATGGCGGCAGAATCATCATCAGACTCTGATGAAGGGGCGTGGCCCTGAAACGCATCAGCGGTGGTAACGTACTAGCACAGTGACACGTCAGTGATTTTTACATGTATGACTTTCCTTTCTTCCAAGTCAACTATGTGAATAGGACTTGTCTGATCAGAATCTGTGCTGGTGTGAGCCCAGCGCAGTATATTGGTGCAATATGAGCATATTTGTTTTCTTCTATGTAATAAAACATTTGATCTGCACTATTCATTGTGCCTGTGTTTGGGATCCTTTCAGCTGTTAAAATCTGGACTATTCAGCTCCATGCACACTAGCTCCTTGTGAGCGTTATTTTTTTTTTTTTTTTCTGCCCCTAGAAGCAAGCAAGTGTTATCCTATGTTACATAGTTAGTCTGGCTGAAAAGAGACAAAAGTCCATCCAGTTCAACCATTAAAAAAAAAAAAAAAAAAAAAAATTATAATCCTATACCCAGAGTTGATCCAGACACACTACTGTAGGCTACAGGTGATTTTCAAACTTCAGCTTCTAGGAGCAGAAAGTCTTTTTTTTTTTTGTTTTTTTTTTTTTTAATAGAGGACTTGTCAAAAACTGTCCTGTTTTTATTGATTTTTAACCATTTTTTGGTGAACGAGTAGGAGTATAATGTACCCCATACACATTAACATGGGGGGAGGATCTAGGGGCACCCTTGTTAAAGGGGGCTTCCAGATTCCAATAAGCCCCCCGCCCACAGAGTCTGGTATGATTTGGAGGTAACCAAACAGTTTCTTTTTTAAGTTTGGCATGGGTTCCCCTTAAAATCCATATCAGACCCAAGTTCTCTGACATTTTCATTGCCGGCAATTGTTTTGTTTACATTCAGCTGTCACTGGGGAGTTGATGACCGCTCTGTTAATAAGAGCAGCTGGCTTGCTCCTGGACAACCAGCTGGCTAAGGATGCCAGCGGGCGCCGCTCCTTAACAGATGCTTGCGCTCCTAAACAGTTTTTTTGCAAATGGTCTGGTATGAATTTAGGAGGGGGGGGGGGGGGGGGGTCTCACCCAACACGGTTTATTTTTTTAATCTTGCTGTGGGGTCTCCTTAAAATCCATATCCGGCTCTAAGGGCATGTTTTTTTTTTCTGAAGTTTTCATTGCTAGCAATTGCTTTAACATTCAGCTGTCAGCTGATGACTCCTCTGTTGTCAAGGATGCAGTGGCGGGCTTGCTGGCCTGCTCCTTGACAACCAGCTGGTTGTTAAGGACACCAGCAGGCACCGCTCCCTAACAGATGCTACTGCTCCTAAAAACTGCAAAAAAAAAATGCTAATGTTTTTTATCCTGCATTTTTTATAGTTTTTTTTTTTTTTTTTTAGCTTCTAGTGTGCATGGAGCCTTAGAGTGACTGTAGGATAGCGGCCATATGATAAGCAAGTTCCATACTTGTGTGACTGTGAACCGGGAAGTGCGCAACACAGAGTGCTTCTGGGGTCACATGACAGAGAGAGGATTGAACTTCACTAACAACATCCTTGGCTTTAACCTTTAGAATTATGTGGGCTTGGAATTGTATGTATAAATGATTATACCTGGAGTGATTCTTGGGAATAACCATTTTTACACAGAATTCTGAGTAATGTTGGGGTGAATGCTAACTAGGTTAAAGCTATCCTATCAGCCAAGAAAACCGAATTAGGCCCGCACTAGCAGCTTACACATTTCTCTCATGTCAGGTTTCCCCCAACCCCCTCCTGTTCTTTTGTTCCTCAGCCACTCGTGTCCACCACCTCAATGAGAATACATACCAGGGGGGGACTGACCATTTGGAAACACGGGCACTGCCCGAGAGCCCGGGGTCAGTAGGGGGCCCCATGAGATGCCCCTGGTACCTTTTTCATAGGCTTTTTTGAGTTTGGGCAAGGACACAGGGGCCCCATGATCCACTATTGCCTGGGGGCCCCATGAGTTGTCAGTCCGCCCCTGGTACATAGCCTCAACATCGTGCAGCTACTGGCTGTCAATCCCCACTGCTGATCAGATTGGTTCCTGATCATGTGACCGCTATGTCAGCTCTTACCTACCAATCACTTACAGGCTGGAGGCTCCTCTGACAAATGAAAGCCTTCAGCATGCATATGAACCCTGCCAACTTCCTGTTGCAGGGTTCATCTGTGATGCAATATATTCATAGTTTAACTGTTAGAATCAGTTCCACAATTTAAAATAATGCATTCATTAAGAAAAAAAAAAACAACTTTTTTTTTTCCAGTTCTTATGTATTTATCTATTTTTTTTTTTAATAAAAAAAAAAACTGGATTTCATTGTTTTAAATAGTGTACCAAATAAAAGCCTTACATGCTCTTAAAAAATATATTAAAGGATAAGTTCTCCTTTTTTAACAAAAAATAAATGCACTTTTTTTTTTAAGGTAAAAAAATGTGCATTTTTTTTTTGTTTTTGTTGTTAATGGAGGCTCTAAAGCATTGCACCAGTGATCAGCAGATTGCTGGTGCCATGCAAGTCTCCCCCTGACCTGTCCGTATATCTGCTTGCTCGTACATCCTGTATGGGCAAGCAGATACTACTGACGGGAAGGCTCAATGAACTACCACGCCATGGTAAGTCTTTGAAAACTACAAGTTGGCAGCCATGAAGGCTGCCAGGACTTGTAGTTTTCCCATTCATAGAATGCTGTGAATGAATGAATTGGAGCCCCACATGGCCATGGTGTTTTTTTTGGTTTTATTGTGACAGCCATCGAAGGGGGTCAGTTCATAGTATGTTACATGTTACACCCTGAATATGGATGTAACATGTAACGTGTTACGAAGGGTGAACTTATCCTTTAAAACTATTAACGCATGCAAATTCGTTATGGAGGCATTAAGATTTGAATGTGGCATTCACGAAACATTCACTGCAGGGTTTTTTTTTTTTTTCCCATTTTTATGCATTTCTCAGGCACATTACAAAAGAGTTATTGCTATTAATTTAATCAAAACTTGCCATCGCTTCTAAATTTCAATAACTTCTGAGACACTGACCCAGAACAAGCATAAAAATGTTGAGGGAACATTCACACCAGGTGCATTGTGACTGCATTGGATGGCTATTCCAGCACAGCCCCTCCCTGCAAGACAAGGCAAAATGCTTTATCCCATGTGCCCAGTTCACACCACTGCATTGCTTTGGTGTGCTCTGAAAAAAGGAATGCATGCAGAACTTTTTTCAGTGCAGCACTGTGCAAGACAGTCCACCTTGCACAAAGCGGTGATCAGTTGAACTCAATGAAATGTCTGTGCAACATTTAAATGAAGTTTGTTTAAAAACAAAAAGTGAACAGTGAGATGTGCAGAGATCAGCACTGCAGCTATCCCGCTGGACCACTCTGCACACCAGTTGCTGTGTTGTAATAGCATCTGGTGTGAATTAGTTCCAAATGTCAGAGCTCCTAATCTGTATTTGTGTCCCAGGTCAGTGACCCGCATTACTGGAAATTCAAGTTTAAAAAAAAATTCCATTCACAGGCAACATATAATTATCAACGGTTACCCATACCTTGATGGAGGCCCAGTGTGGGTCACTTCTACAATGTAGGCATTTATTTCAGCCTTTGAGCCCGGTGCTGAGGCTTTATAACTACAGCTCTCTATGTCTTTACTTTGTAATTGCAGCCTATCCCCAAAGTTGAAATTGTCCTGCGGAACACAAGACTCAGGTCCAGTTTTATCTGTGAAGATTAAAATTTCCATATTAAAGCACAACTCCAGCCATCCAGCCAGAACATAAAGTTATATATAAATCCTTTTTAAAGAGATCTTTCTATTAGATCATTCAACAAAAAAATCTTCCTACATAATTACGTGTGCATTTATCTATTTATACGTCCTATTTAACTGTAAAAAACCTCCTTCTGTAGACATTTAAAGCCTAGAGACCAGGCACTGCTACAAAATGGTTATGTAGAAAGGTGACTAAAGGGGCTGAGGACTGGGGTCAGAACAGAGACGATTAGACACTCCCAGAGGGGAAAATTACCTGCAAGGGCTAGGGAATTGACTCTGGAGTAGTCATATTTTCTTGTAAGTTGAAAAGCATATTACAAGTGAATAAAAAGCATAACATAGTTACATGGTTGAACTGGATAGACTTTTGTCTTTTTTCAGCCAGACTAACTATTAAAAAAAAGAAAAAGAAAAGTTATAATCCTAAAAAATAAACCCAGCAAAGCATGATCCAATTTGCTCCTGAAGGGGAAAAAATGCCTTCCTGATCCCCCGAGAGGCAATCTGATATTCCCTAGATCAACTTTACCTATAAATGTTAGTATCCAGTTATTTTCTGTGTATCCGAGAAAGAATCCAAGACTTTTATAAAGCAATCCACTGAGCTGGCCTGAACCAACTCTTGAGGGAGTCTATTCCACATTTTCACAGCTCTTACTGTGAAGAAACCTTTCCGTAATTGGAGATTTAATTTCTTTTTCCTCCAGACGTAAAGAGTGCCCCCTTGTCCTCTGTGATGACCTCAGGGTGAATAGCTCTACACCGAGTTCACTATATGAACCACTGATGTATTTATACATGTTGATCATATCCCTCCTTAATCTCCTCTTTTCAAGAGAGAATAAATTCAGTTCCTCTAATCTTTCCTCATAGCTGATCTCCTCCATGCCTCGTATCAGTTTGGTTGCCCTTCTCTGTACTTTCTCCAGTTCCCCAATGTTCTTTTTGTGAATTGGTGCCCAAAACTGAACTGCATATTCCAGATGAGGTCTTACTAATGATTAGTACCGGGGTAATATGATATCTCTCTCTGGAGTCTATACCTTTATTAATGCAAAAGAGGATTTTGCGCGCATTAGAAACTGCAGCTTGGCATTACATGCCATTATTAAGCTTATTAACCCCCAGATCCTTCTCCACCATTGATTCCCCCAGTTGTACCCCCCCTAGTATGTATGATGCATGCATATTCTTAGCCCCCAAGTGCATAACCTTACATTTATCAACATTAAACCTCATTTGCCACATAGTTGCCCAATTACACAGAACATTGAGGTCGGCTTGTAAATTGAAGACATCCTGTAAGGACATTTTTCCACTGCAGAGCTTGGTGTCATCTGCAAAAGACTAAAATGGGATTTGTAATCTCAGACCCTATATTGTTTATAAGTATATTAAAAAGTAAGGGTCCCAACACTGATCCTTGGGGTACACCACTGATGACCCCAGACCACTCAGTTTTCCATCCATTTACATACGTATTTTTCCAAGCCTGTAGACTTTGCATTACACATTAGCCGTGTGTGGGAAATTGTGTCAAACGCTTTTGCAAAATCCAAATATACTACATCCACCACCACCCCTCTGTCCAAGGTTTTGCTCAACTCATAAAAAGAAATCAGATTTGTTTGACAACTTCTGTCTTTCATGAATCCATGCTGTCTGTTGCTTAAAATATTTTTTTCCAGCAAGAATTCATCTGTGTGGTCTTTTATTAAACTCTCCAGTATCTTCCCAACTATAGAAGTTAAACTGACAGGTCTATAATTACTTGGTAAAGATTTTGACCCCTTTTTAAATATTGGCACCACATTGGCCTTACGCTAATCCAGTGGTACTATGCCAGTCATTAATGAATACCTAAAAAATTAGAAACAATGGCTTTGAAATGACAGAGCTCAATTCTTTAAGGACCCGTGGGTTTATGCCATCCAGTCCAGGTTCTTTATTCACCTTTTATTCTGTTAAATATTTTTGGATCATATCAATTGTGAGCCAATGTGGATCATCTGGAGCTGTGGCAATACCATGTCCATTATGGACAAGAGCTCCCCCATACTCCTTTGTATACACAGAGCTGAAGAAGGTATTAAATACATTTGCCTTCTCTTTGTCCCCAGTCACCCACTCTAGATTATTTTGTAAAGGGCCTACATGCTCGGACCGGACCTTTTTACTATTAATATATTTGAAGAATTTTTTGGGGTTGGTCCTGCTATCTTTTGCAATATGTCATTCATTTTCAATTTTTGCAGCCTTTATTTCTTTTTTGCATATTCAGTTATATTCTTTGTAATGTTTAAATGATGATAGTGTTCCTTCATTTTTTTATATTTAATAAAAGCTCTTTTCTTATTATAGCTTTTTTAACTTTGTCCATGGGCCACATAGTTTTGATTTTTAGCCTTTTAAACTTGTTGCCCATGGGGATATATTTTGCAGTGTGTTCACATACAGTCTTTTTGAAGAACTCCCATTTGTGTGTTGTGTTCACTGATGCCAATATTCCCTCCCAGTCTAAGTCTTGGAGAAAAGTCTTGGACAAAAATTAGTTCTTAAAGTTGAGCGTTTTTATTTTTGCTGTATGTGCTTGTTGTTTACAGCTAGCAATAAATGATATCATTTAGGGAAAGGACAGTACTGCATGTAACAATTTAAAAAATGTTTTTTTCTTTGTTCTTACCTGCAGTGTTTGAGTTTGGGAAAGGGTCTCTTTAATGGGCTTTGTAAACCCTTTATGCTATACTGTAATGCTGTTGACTGGGGCCCCCCGAAACCCCCACAAAGCACAACAAACATTGTAACCAATAAACATTCTTGAACCGCAAAACCAGCTTGGTGCTCATTCCACCAAGTCCACGGCAACAAAATCCTGACAGAGGTTCTAACCCTTTTTCATTGTACTAGAGGCACTCTTCATTTTCCCATCAATGACAACAATCCGTCAAGGCCTTGAGGCAGCAAAGCAGCCCCAAACCATGATGCTCCCTCCGCCATGTTTTACAGTGGGGATGAGGTTTTGATGTTGGTGTGCTGTGCCTTTTTTTCCCCACACATAGTGTTGTGTGTTCTTAACAAAAAGCTCAATCTTGGTTTCATCTGTCCACAGTATATTTTGCCAGTAGTGCTGTGGAACATCCAGGTGCTCTTTTGCAAACTTCAAACGTGCTGCAATATTCTTTTTGGACAGCAATGGCTTCCTCCGTGGTGTCCTCCCATGTACTCCATTCTTTTTTAATGTTTTCCTTATTGTAGATGTGTCAACAAAAAATGTTAGCATGTGCCAGAGATTTCTGTAGGTCTTTAGCTGACACTCTGGGATTCTTCTTTACCTCATGCAGCATTCTGCGCTGTGTTCTTGCAGTCATTTTTACAGGACAACCACGCCTATGGAGAGTAGCAACAGTGCTAAACTTTCTCCATTTGTAGACAGTCTGTCTTACCGTGGACACATGGACATCAAGGCTTTTGGAGATACTTTTGTAACCCTTTCCAGCTTCATGCAAGTAAACAATTCTTGATCGTAGGTCTTCTGAGAGCTCTTTTCTGCGAGGCATGGTTCACATCAGACTGTGCTTCTTGAAACCAGTAAACCCAAAACAGGTGTGTTTTTTTTTTTTTTAAGGGCAGAACAGCTGTCAGCAACACATCCAATATCATCACACTGTTTGGACTCAAGGTTGGCTCACTCCTGGCTCCAATTAGCTCTGGGAGAAGTCATTAAGCTAGGGGGCCTCACATACTTTTTCCTCCCTGCACTGTGAATGTTTACATGTTATGTGCAATTAAACCATGGCAACATCTAATGTTTGTGTAGTATTATGTTCAGCGGACTGTGTTCTTCTATTGTTGTGACTTAGATGACATCAACAGCGAGGCTCTTACTTTACTTTCCATTCATCGTGCATCAGCATCAGAGGTTGGTCATCAGCTCTGAGGAAAGGGATTCGTCCCCGAAACGCGTCAGCATTTGACCGCACTGACTGTGAGAACACCTTGCCCGCCATTGTGGCCATTGTCATTTTTCTATGCTTTTTAGATACATGCTTCGTCTGTGAGTATGTTTTTATGATTTAATTCCTACAATAAACCTTGGATAATGCACTAGGTGTGTGCGCCACCTGTTTTTCTCTCTATCCAGTGGCTGATTTCCCCGTCTGAGGAGGGCTGCACCCCTGGAACATTTCCTTTTGGTTGTCGCTGTCCTGGTACCCTTGGCTTCCCTTTTGGCTGTGCATATCCTGAGGCGCTGGAGAGTACATACGCTATCCGGTGACTTAGATGACGTTCAGAGCACATTTTATGCCCAATTCATGCAAAACTCCATGTAATCCCAAGGGGTTCACATACTTTTTCTTGCAACTGTATTCTTTCCCCAGTCTAAAACAAAAAATAAATAGCTGGACTGGAATACGTTTTAAGGTGATCTGTCTCATAAGAGATGTGTTAGAAGTGGTTCGCTTTACAGTCATGTAGCATGGATCAACCAAGCCTGTCTGGGTGTATTATTATTACAGTAACACTACACTCATCATTGGTGCTGGATTTTTTATAATTGTGTGCAGAGTCTAGTCCAGCCATTCTCAACCTTTTTTACTCCAAAGGAATCCTTAAATAAGGTCTGAGGGAACTCCTGCTAAAATTCATCAGGGGTCATTGCGGAAAATGCTGCTTACATTGATATTCAGTGGAAGAATGCCCCCCTTACAGTACAGACCCTTATGTTGAATACACAGCAGCAGGCAGGACGGGCCCTTTAAAAATGTAACTCTAGCAAGAAAGATATGTGACTGGATTTGGAAGTTGTCAGCACTGCTGTTTGCCTAGACCAGCCATTCACAACCAGGGTTTCATGGAACCCTTGAGATCCTAGAGGAGCTGTGAGGGGTTCCTTGAGCTGTGGATGACTGACCTCTGATGATGCCTGTAGAGTTTGGGGTCTAACACCACTTGGCCAAGACAGCAACATGAGTCAAGTGTAAGGTAGGTCATAAGTGGTGTGAACTTCTTTCCTGCAGTCACCACGGAGAATCCCCTTTTCAATACAGTTCAGTGTTGACAGAGGAATCCCCCCCCCCCCCCACTGTAAAATCCAGCAGGCTGGTTGTACCAAAGTTGATCAATTGATCAACTCTGGTACATTCAGCCTGCCCATGCATGGCTCGAACCTCAGCTGGTTCCTGCCAAACCGGATTTGAACTGTCTGTGGCTGGCTGAAGCCTTCAACATTTTCTTTTACAGTCTGGATCTGTCTGAATATTTGTACTTGGAGCACATCAAAGAGTAGTAGAGCTTCAAATCAGCACAGATGAATCTGAAATGTTGACTTTACGTAAAGCAGAGATAAGGTGGGAACACTTTCATGGTATAACACCTTAACCCCCATCATATGTGATATGACTTTCTCTATCACTTACTTTTCTCCCTCTTCAGAAGAATTACCGGTTCATTTTCCAGCTCAGCAAAGAAGGAGACTTCCCCATATTCCTGCTTTGCCCATTGTAGAAGTTCCTCACTCTCCTTTGCATCGAAACTTGAAACATTGGATTTGGGGACCATCAAAACTAATTTGGAGAACTAATATAAACCAAAAAATAAAATAACATTTGACTTCTATTAGTGAATATGGCAATATACAGTACAATCTGCAAATTTACTGTGTGAGAAGGATCTGTTTTCATTAGCAACAGTAGTCTATAAAACAAGCAGACACTCCTGGCATATTCTATATCTGCAGTGGGTTGGGATAGTTCAAGTTTTTGTCCAAGCTGACCAAAATAAATCCTCTCTGACCTGTCTCTTATGTCTATAGCAGTGGTCTCCAAACTGTGACCTGGGAGGCAGATGGGGCCCTTTGCTTGCTTTTATCTGGCCCTTGTGGCATTATTACCTACCACTGACAGCAGCAGTGGTCAAAATTCCTGCCACTGACACCGACAATGGGGCACTATTCCTCCCCCATATCAATGATGCCAAGGATGGGGCAATATTCCTTCCACTGACACCAATGATGGGGTACTATTCCTCCCCCATATCAGTAATGGGGCACTACTCCTCTGACTGATGCTAACAATGGGTCACTATTCCTCCCCCAAATACAAAAGTAGGGGCATGATTTACTCGCACTTCCATGGGCATTTTTTACCTCCACTGGCCACAGTCTGGCCCACTAAATTTTTGGAGGACAGTAAACTGATCCTTTTGTTCAGATAGTTTGGAGACCCCTAGTCCACAGCAAGCTTAAAGTGTGGTAACCCTTGTCTGACGATCAACAGCTAACTGATCAGTCTTTCTAAACTGATTAAAGATTGAATCCAATCCTGTTATTCCTATTGGTTAACATAAAGTCTTGCATTCTACAACAGTACATCTGTCACACTGTGCCACCAGGTAGATCACTGCTTTAGATTTACTACTTCCTGGCTCCCTGATAAATGGTGATAGGCAGGATGGAGGTAGAGAGGTGATTCAGGAAGGTGTGTGTGTATTCTGTTTTTATACTCCTAACAGTGACCTAGAAAAGTATGCAGCCAATGAAGTAAGACCTTTTTGATATGCATATTTGGTCATGTTAGTGACTCAGTTCTAAAGCCAGAGGATTAGCATTGTAAACAAGTAACTAGAACCTTCAGAAAAAGGTCACCTATCCCAGGAATCCCACTTCTCAGATTTATGCGGATGTAAACTGTTGGTCAACACACTGCACACAATTGACCAAACTGTATTGCTTAAAGTGTTACTAAACCCACAACAGTAAAATCAGTGTGTATAAGCAGTAAAGCATGCTTGGTATACTCTGCATTGTGGTGAAAAGCTGTTTGATCCTGTTTTCTCTGATCCTCCCCTTCTTCTACTGTCCCCAAACGATCTGCTGATAGAACAGAGCCTTTGGGGCATGCTGCACATGCTCAGTTTGGTGTGTAGTGCTAGAGAAATTTTTTTTTCTTGGGACAGTGCATGTGATCAACACAGGGCCAATCAGCAGAGTCCAGCATAGGGTCAGGGGTTATGCAGTCTCGTAGGACAATCAGTGGAGAATGAAAACTCCTACAAGCTACATGCAGTGCTCTGCTGGACACTGATAGAAGTCACAAGACTGCTCTAACTGCTGATGAGAAAAGGTATTTAGCAATTTATATTTACTAACAATTGCATTTCCATGTGTGTACTATGGGAGACCAGATATAGTGAATGCAGGGCCTGGGTTTAGTAACACTTTAACTGCACCAGAGAAAGGTCATCTCTCAAGCCTGGCTGTGTTGTCTGGAAGGGCTGTGTAAATCTCAGGACTGAGTAGACCGCGTTCTCTTATATGTATTTCAATGGTATATTTGTCTGTTTGGAGTTGTTTTAAACAATGTAAAAAAATTCCCAAAGAAACCACTACTAGGTAGGTGACCAAAAGCAGATGGATTGTGTGACAAATGGTGTGTTGTTTATATTAGGGTGGGAATGAATATTATAATGTACAATTGCATGCTATATTTCAATTGTTAGCATTTGCAATACACACCCACACCTTTGATATTGCCTACTTACATGAAAAGTAACTGGAAAACCATTGGCATTGACAAAAATATACAGAGGAGCATTGGCATTGACAATGAGCACAGGGGGTTTCTCTGAGGCTTCTTCTTTTGATCCTTCTCTTGAGATGTCCAGATTCAGAATCTTGGATGAAAGATAGCAAAATGTTATTGGTATTATAAGTAAATGCTTGCCATTCTTATGGTGACACCGCTGCTCCGCTATAGATACAGATACAGCAAGCGTTGTCATCCGAGGTCAGGAAGTGGGCAGTATCAAGCGAAAAGAGAAAAAGCCTGAAAAAAGAATGTATATTGAATGTTTTTTGAAAGAGTGTAAAATGATTGTGAGTGTAAAATTGATCTGGGGAGGTAAAGGAGGAGGGGGGGGGGGGGGGGGGGGGGGGGGGGGGGGGTCAAACTGACCATGGCCCTGGGAAAGGGGGAAGACAAAGGTGACAGGATGGAAGCTGATAATAACAGAAGATGAGAGAAGAGGGGCAGTTGATCATTGGACATTGAAAAAGGGAGAGCAGAGTAGGAGCTGACCAGGGAGGAAAGCGAGAGGAGATGTTGAGCAAGCTGACCAATTCATTGAAAAGGCAAAAGATTATCATAGGTGAGGAAAGGGAGGAGGCCCACTATGAGCTAATCAACAATGTGGAAGTGAGAGTAGAGGCATGGAGGAGATCCTCATAGATTAGTCATTTTTCAATATGGTTCCTCCAGAGGTTTCTTGAGCTGTGGCCAATTTAGTCTCCCATTTTGATAGTGCCTACATAGTTCTAGGGTCAACACCACTTGGCAAACCCAGGAACGTGACACCAATGATCTTTTTAGCTGTCTGTATGAGTAGCATTCTGACCAACACTGTAAGGGCTGCATTCTTTCTACTGACCAGTAACGTATATGAATTTTTCCCATTTATCTTCAAAAGCATTGGTTTGTGTAAGGGTTCCCTGAGACTTGAAAATTACTTTTGTGTATTTTATGGCAGCCTTTCTCAACCTTTTTACCCAAGAAGAACCCTAAAGTCTTAAAAAAAAAAATAAACATTGAAACTTACTGGTATGAAGGGGAACACCCACAAAAATACATAAAAGCATATAGTATTTTTTTACAAAACCGTAAAACACACGACCAAATGGTTAATAAAAACCTTTGAACTTGTTGCACACTTAATTATCCAACACTAACTTATTTACCACTCTTTATATTGACAATACATTTACTGGCCACCTTATTGGGTAGACCTGTTCAATTGCTTGGTAACACAATTTGCTAATCAGCCAATCACATGGCAGCAACTCAATACTTTTAGGCATCTAGACGTGGTGAAGATAATTTGCTGAAGTTTAAACTCAGAATGGGGGGAGAAAGGGGATTTAAGTGACTTTGAACATGGCATGGTTGTTGGTGCTAGACGGGCTGATCTGAGTATTTAAAAAACTGCTGATCTACTGGGATTTTCACGCACAACCATCTCTAGCGTTTACAGAAGATGGCCTGAAAAAGAGAGAATATCTAGTGAGCAGCAGTGCTGTGGATGAAAATACCTTGTTGATGTCAGAGGAGAATGGGCAGACTGGTTTGAGATGATAGAAAGGCAACAGTAACTCAAAAAAACACCACTCATCATGACCAAGGTTTGCAGAATACCATCTGTGAACGCACTAAACATAACACCTTGAAGCAGATGGGCTACAGCAGCAGAAGACCACACTGGGTAGCAAGGTGTACCTAATAAAGTGGCCGATGAGTGTATATTCACACATTGACTAACTGCCTTAAGAGACTATAATGTGGAAATAAAGTCCTCATGAGTCAACGCTTTTCCAATTTCTGATTCTTCAGGACGCATGGGAAAGTAAAGAAGAGGAAAAACAAACTATACATGTATCAAAGTTACGTATACATCTGCATTCTAGAGCTGGTTAGGATCATATGGTTATCATCAAAGAATGATATTTTAACCAGTTTGTATTCGGGTGTATTCATATATCGTACCCATTCAGTATTTTTAAATGCAAGAGAATAAATAATGCTAAATTCGGCAGCCTCAAATTTTTAAGAATTGCATTAGACTGTGAAACTGAATGAACTGTGACAATTACAAACTCAATTTAAATCACAACTTTACTCGAATCCGAATTATTGAACAAATCTGAAAACGGAATTCATTTCCCCATGGGCCCGAACTACTGTAGCATGATGTTATGTCATCCGAATGAAACAAATTCATTTGTTAATTTCATTATAACTTTTTTTTTTCTGATTCAGTGACATTCGTTACTGTGTCTATTTGGAGATTCGTAAAAATCTGAATCTCTGAAACTAATTTTTGTCTGAAAAGTTGATTAATTACAAAATGAACATGTGTACTATTATGTATGTTTTTTGTGTGTGTGCAATATGATTGTAGTTCTAGAGAGAAGGTACTGGGATATGATCATGGACTGAAGCTAGAAGAAACTAAGACTAGGTGAATTTAGTCTAAGCATAGATGTGGGGTCAGAGAGATGGGGATTATGGGAAGAGGAAGGTAAAGTGGAAGCTAATCGTGGACAGGGGCGGAAGAGCGAGAACAGACTTTTGGTGAAGGGTGGAAATAAGAGGAGCAGAAGCTGACTGTGTTTTCAGTGGAGGGAGTGCAGAGTAAAGACTTCTCATAGACTGAAGGTTTAGAGAGTAGAGGTACTGGGTCATGCACTGGATGATTTCTCTCTCCTTGGAGGTGTAATTCGTGTGAAATTGTGGTTTATCTGTTTGCACCAGTCATGGACACCTCTCAACTGAGCCAGAGGGGTGGATATTACTGGAAAGGATGCCTGCCTGTTATTGTAAGGTAGCATTTAATATCTGCTTGGGAGTTTGCCTCCATTTGTAGCCAGTAGATAGTGGGGATGTTGTGCAGAGACAACACACCACAGAAAGGATAGAATTATGGAGAATGCGGGTCTGTTGATTTTCACTTTATCCACCACCTGCGTTGGGGGACCATTACACAATTTTACTGCTTTAAGAATGTCCAACTTTATTGTTATGTAAAACTTTTATATATATATATATATATATATATATATATATTGTGATATGGGGGATGCTTAGCTCAGTGGTAGATGCGTTTTTAAGTGAGTTCATGCAAGACAGGAGCTAAAAATTAAGGGTTTCGTAGCCCACTTTTAATAAAAGATAAATTAAAAGTCCTTCCACACAAGGTTTCCCACACAGGAGGTTTCAACTTCACTCAAAATAAGACAATGAAAATGCCAAGCCACCTGGCTCCCTGATTAGCAGTACCTCTGCTTGGCTTGGTCTCCCAGATCACTGGCTATTCAGGCTCTCTCCTGTTGAGGCCCCACATGGCCTCTTGACAGTTTTTTTTTTTTTTTTTTTTTCCCCTGTACCTCAGGTTGCTTCCTTCAGAGACTCATGGACTCCCTCCAGCCTCCCAGACCCTCTCTTGGTCTCCCAGACTCTCGTAGCTGGCCAGACCTAGTATCCCCCTCACAAGGGTTGTAGTCTCCACCAGGAGCTTCTAGCTCTCCTGACAGGGCTCTGGTTTTCAGGCTTGCAGCAATAGTAACTGCTCTCGCAAGCCCATCATTATAAGGGCTGTGTGCAGCTGGGCACACACCCTGCTGGTTGTCCAACACCCAGACACAGGGTTGGAGATTCCATCCCACCCAAAACTCTTAGGATTCTCCAAACTACAGTGCCCCATCCAGTAATATCCAGAGAAAGCTGCACAGGCAGTTTTCTCCACTCCAAATCTATGCTCTGTAGCATTGCACTAAGCAGACATGAAAACTGTCTTTTTCCTGGCCATTTTCATAGTGACCCTTGCACTGTCACAAAATATATACATACGCTATATTGCCAAGAGTATTGGTCGGCCTGCCTTTACACGCACATGAACTTTAATGGCATCCCGTCCTAGTCCATAGGGTTCAATATTGAATTGGCCCCGCCCTTTGCAGCTGTAACAGCTTCAACTCTTCTGGGAAGGCTGTCCACAAGGTTTAGGAGTGTGTCTATGGGAAGGTTTGACCATTCTTCCAGAAGAGCATTTATGAGGTCAGGCACTGATGTCGGCCTGGCTCGCAGTCTCTGCTCTAAGGCCTCATGTACACATTAACTCACCTAGTCGTTAACCTCTCTCCTGACAGCAGAATGCTAAACACGGCAAACACGCATGTAAACACGGTACAGCGTTTACCTGTGGTTTAATGCTTGGACGTTTATTTATTTGATTGGCCAGAGTATTTTCCACTGACCTTGATAAATGCCCAAGCGCTAAATGCAGCGAACGTTTAACCGTGTTTACATGTGTTTAGCCTTTTTGTTTGTCCAAAACGTTCCTCTCTTGAACGTGATTATTCTGCGTTCAGAAGAGGACCGTTTAACTGCTTCTAAACTCTGGTAAAAGCCTATGTGTACATGGACACGTAGGCTTTTGAGTTGAGCTCAGGAGCACTGGCAAAAAAAATGCCAAAAGATCCTAAAACGTGAGCAATGTACATGATGCCTAATTCATCCCAAAGGTGTTCTTTCGGGTTTAGGTCAGGACTCTGTGCCGACCAGTCAAGTCCCTCCACCCCAAACTCACTCATCCATGTCTTTATGGTTCTTGTGAGCAGTCATGTTTGAACAGGAAGGGGCAATCACCAAACTGTTCCCTCAAAGTTGGGAGCATGAAATTGTCCAAAATGTCTTGGTATGCTGATGCCTTAAGAGTTCCCTTCACTGGAACTAATGGGCCAAGCCCAACACCTGAAAAACAACCCCACACCATAATCCCCCCTCCACCAAACTTTTACACATGGCACAATGCAGTCAGGTAAGTACCGTTCTCCTGGCAAACACCAAACCCAGACATATCCATTGTATTGACAGAGAAGCCAAATTCATCACTCCAGAGAACACGTCTCCACTGCTCTAGAGTCCAGTGGCGGTGTGCTTTACACCACTGCATCCAACGCTTTGCATTTTACTTGATGGAAGGCTTGGATGCAGTTGCTCATAAACCCATTCTATGAAGCTCTCTATGCACTGTTGTGCTAATCTGCAGGCCACACCAAGTTTGCAGGTCTTTAGCTATTGACTCTGTAGGCAGTTGGCGACTTCGTGCACTGTGCGCTTCTGCATGTGCTGACCCAGCTCTGCCATTTTACGTGGCCTACCACTTCGTGGCTGAGATGTTGATGTTCCCAGTTGCTTCCACTTTGTTGTTATAACAATAACAGCTGACTGTGGAATATTTAGTATGAAGGAATTTTCACAGATCGACTTATTGCACAAGTGGCAACCTATCGCGGTACCACGCTTGAATTCACTGAGCTCCCGAGAGCGACCCATTCTTTCACAAATGATTGTAGAAGCAGTCTGCATGCCTAGGTGCTTGATTTTATACACCTGTGGCCATGAAGGTAATTGGAACACCTGAATCTAATGATTTGGAGGGCTTGCCCAATACTTTTCGCAATATAGTGTATGTAGCATGTGGCTCTGGTGCATACTATTATGCAGTATTTCAAAAACAAGAACAAAAAAGGAAACCGGTTAAAAAAAATATTTAAAAAATTATATTAGGTTTAATTTTTTTTAAAGGAAAGGTGTATCTTTTTATCTACTACTATTAACTGACCCTTCTGCCAGCCCCACCAAGCTAAACTGCACTAATCCATCCATCTCAGCTGCTTGCTTATTTCTGTTAGACAACCATGGTATTTACAGAGATCTTTGCTATATGACTCCATTCTAGATAGGGCAATTTTACTTAGGAGGGCCGGGGAGGGGTAGTGCCAGAGTTGTAATTTAAAAGGAGTAACATAAAAAATGTTGGGGAAAAACAAATAGCATTAAATTAATTCCAGGCTCACTTCTCTGCAGCAATCATTTATCCTGATTCAGGCCTCCAGCAGTGTAGCCAAAACATTTGTTTTTAGTTAAGATTAAAACACAAAAATGTGACGATAAAAAAAAAAAAAGCTCTGGAGAACGGAATTGTTTCACAGTGGTGAAAGTTAAACATGAGAAATACTGTCGAGAAAAAAACAGTCCTTTAAATTGAATGACGATAGCCACGAGCTTATAACCCCTTACAAAGAAGGGTGTTTTGTCACCACACTGACCCAGCGAACTCGATCTTCTATCGACACAATGTCGCCCTGGATGATGCCGCCTGGTGATTCGGCTCACTTTCTATTTTTAACCCGTGAATTTTAAGACATTGTTTCGCGTGAACTGAATTAAGACGGTAACTTGAGGTCCATTTCCAGTAATTCTTCTGCAAGTCAAGAATGGTGCGTCCCCTCCCACCCAGCATACTGTACCCTGTGCACTATGTACACAGAAAGCATACATCAATAAAAACACAATGACACAAGATGGGATGGCTTAAAGGGTGACTCCATTTCTACACCAGTTTTTGGCTCAGCTGATATTCTATGCCAGGGCTGCAAAATAATCAGCTTTATAAATAATATTCTCTGTCGTCATTACTATAGTATGCTTATACAGATCTTGTCATTCTAAAACAAAAAGCCTGCAAAAGAAGATATGACACACTCCCTGCAAGAGTTAAGACCTTTAGGAGAATCTTCAGAGTTTGACACTTCGGAGCAGGGGCGGACTGACAACTCATGGGGCCCCCGGGCAATAGGGGATCATGGGGCCCCTTTTTCCTAGCCCATTCTCAAACCACACCCAAAAAAGCCTATGAAAGGTGTCAGGGACATCTCATGGGGCCCCCTACTGACCCTGGGCCCTCGGGCAGTGCCCGTGTTCTCCAATGGTCAGTCCGCCCCTGCTTCGGAGTGTATCGGATACCTGTGTCCTTCGCTGCTCTCTGGTTCCATCTGCCGGCTTACCACAAAGCTAGTACTATGTCTATGAACTTGGGCACCAAGTTGGGACTAAGTTTTCAAATACTTGGTCCTAGCATTATAAATGTAAGAAAATGGTGATAAGAGAGCACCTGGTTAGAAGCATTATAAATGTTTACAGGGATCTGACAAGACAGAAGTTCATATTATATGTTTATTGCCCATGGAGACTTATGGCTGGCACCAAGGTTGTCACTTCAGGTCATGGCTAACACTTTCCCTTTTATTGAAACTTGAGACCAGCAACATTCATTCTGAGCAACATTGTACTTAAATCCTGAACTACTGCAAGTCTCAAGCTTCTAAAACTTGATACGGAATTATGGATCAAAATATGTGAATTTGCACTTGGCTCTTTTTGGATTTGTTTAAAATTTTTGGGAAGCGTGGGGAAGGATTAGAACCCCTGCTGGGATATATATATATATGTTTGCTGATCTCTGCACTGAGTCAACATGGTATTGACAAGCATCTCATCAGTTTCAGTTGTCCTTCTCCAGCTCCTATGGCTGATAAAGAGGTTGATCAATGGGCAGCACAGTGGCTAAATGGTTAGCACTTCTGCCTGGCAGTACTAGGGTCGTTGGTTTGAATCCCAACCACGGCACCACCTGCCTGGAGTTTGCATGTTCTCCTTGTTCCTGCATACGTTTCCTCCGAGTACTCCAGTTTCCTCCCACATCCAAAGACATGCTGGTAGGTTAATTGGATCCTATCTAAATTGGTCCCTGTCTAAATTGGTCCTAGTATGTGTATGTATGAATGTAAGTTGGGGATCTTAGATTGTACTGATGTGAATGTACTATATATGTAAAGCACTGCATAAATTGACGGCACTATATAAGTACCTGAAATAAATAAAAATCAATCAATCAATCATGATCTGTGCTCAGTCAGCTTCAATTAGGTGCAAAGGTGACATTTGGGGGCCAATAGACTGATACTCTCCTTAAAGACCATTGCGTAATCACATGGGGGGCTTCAGTCCCTTAGGTGATAGCACTAAAGTTAAGTGAAAAAAATGAAAAATCTAAAGTGTATACAGTAAATCAATAAAGAAAAAAAAAAACATTAAAGCAAGCACATGTAAAAACATAAACGCCTAGGTACAAAAAGATACATTCTATTAATTCCAATGCAACCTCATGTGTTATATATTAGTAAACAGTTGTGTTTTTGTGCCCTCAAATTAAATTAAGAGATTTTTTTTGTTTGTTTTTTTTTCACTGAAAATATGGGTTTGATAAACTGTTGCTCTAATATCATATGTCTAAAAAAATTGCAACTACCAACATTTTCAACATTTTTATATTCCAGGATCTCTGATTTCAGAAAATTATATAATGTTTGGGTGTTTTATCTAAACCCCCCGAGGCTTAAAATGTGCTGTTAAAAAAACACATGGCAAAAACAGCTTTGGCGGCAAGAAGGTTGCCATAAAAATAAATTCTTTTGAAGAAAACTTACATGTTGATCCTTCGTATGAACGACATTGAGCACATACACTTCTTGATTTGTAACTTTCCCCACACAGCCTTTTAAGATGAGAGGACGTTGGGCATTTGCAGAGATCTGATCTTTGCCAACCACAGGTTGCAAGTGACACCGCTCAGGAACTGGAACTGGAAAAGAAAGAATTGAAGTATAATTGTTAGAACAAGTCAATAGTAACCACATGTCCCTGAGTCTCAAGAACAATTCCAAGCTTTGATGGTTTGTGGGTGGGTTTTTTTTCGTCCCTGGAAATTGCTTAGATTTTCAGGGTTGGCAAGATGTACCATTAATGTGACCCACAGGGCTTCTTTTGGTGATATTACAGTATATAGCTATTTTTTTTATTGTTTTCTGTGCAACCTTTTTACTTTGACCAGTGTTAGTTTTAAAACAGTTGGTGTTACTGTAGATACAGTATGCATTTTGTTCTATAATTCGACTTGTGAGGAAACATTCCTATTAGAAAAATATGAAAACAATTTTCTTACATATGTCTGACACATTTCTAAGCTGAAAGTAATTTTAATGTAATAATGATGTTTGCTAAACTTCTAGCCTAAACTTTTTTAGAAATCCTAGAATATTCTATCATATGCAGAATGGCTAACTTTATTTTACTAATTTAACCTAGTCTGATCAGATACATGCTCTATAACATAAACTAAATAATCGATTGGCTTTGAGACCCATGGTTTCAAATTTGGAAAAACTTGGCTATTAGTTGCAATTAGGATGAGATTAAGATTTGGTTGTACTGGTGTTTTGGATGAGCGAACAAACATTTAGCAGTTTAGTGGGAGCCCAATGCCATGTAAAATAGCAGTATTATTACAATTATATCTGACTGCTTCCCACTTGTTAAGGACGCCGGGGATGCATGAACTACCGAGCCCTTACAACCAGTGATGTCACCGGATCCATTCACTTCACATGGCCGGCTAGGTAAGCAAAGGAGCCAGGGATTAAAAAATGCAAAAAATCTGACAGGCTGATTGTACTGAAGTCGATCAATGAATCAAATTCAGTACAACCAGCGTTGCTATTAGATGGATCAAATCTTGGCTGGTCCCTGCTGAACCGACTGAGGTTTGATCCATCTGTAGCCTGCTTAGGTGTACAGAATATTGCTCTTTTGCCCCCTCCCTTATGTTACCTATTTCTTTTCTTCTTTTGTATTCCATGCAAAGTAAAATACAAAGTTTAAGTACAAAAAAGACACTCCAGATTAACTAAAACTGGAGAGTGCAAAATATGGTGCAGCTCTGGACAGAAACCAATCAGCTTCCAGGTTTTTTTGTCAAAGTTTTTTTATTAAACAATTTGAAGTTAGAAGCTGATTGACTACCATGCACAGCTGCACCAGATTTTGCACCCTCCAGTTTTAGTAAATCAACCCCAATGCGTTTCTAGGGTTGAAAGAATCCAAATGTTATCAAGGCTTGGCGGACGCTAGAGGAGAGAATTGGATGTAGTTTCCTGATTAAGTTCTCCAATCAGCATGCAGCATTTTTAGACCCCAGCCCCATGTAATGCAGTAAAGCTTAATTGGCTTAAAGGGTAACTCTACTTACATGGAACAAATAAACCAAAAAAAAAATATCTCTCAAAATTCTTATTTTTAAGGTTGAACTAGATCGGCTTTGTAACTATGTAACTATATACACTGCTCAAAAAAAATCCTCTGTATAGTCCAGGTATCACCTCATGTAGTAACACTGACCCTAGCCAAATGCAAAACTAGTGAAAAACAGTCAGAAAAGATGAGCAGGGCATAAAATGTCAGTGGCCACCTGTAAAACAATTCCTGTTTTGGGGGTCGTCTCATTGTTGCCCATCTAGTGCACCTGTTAATTTAATTAACACCAAAGCAGCTGAAACTGATTAACAACCCCCTCTGCTACTTACCTGACCAGATCAATATCCCAGGAGTTTAACCTGATGCTATACTCTGATTAGAAAGTATTCCTTTAATTTTTTTTTTAGCAGTGTACAATGGCTAGTTGGTAATTTTAGCTTTAAAGCAAATATCCAAGTTTAGTGTAAATTTTAACCTCGCAGTCACCCCATACCCATAGGTGGCATGGGTAAATTCTCATTTAGGCTAGGGGTATAGGAATATGTTGAAATGCAATTACATCAATGGGGAGGCACAATTAGTGGATTTTAAGGTTGTAACCGGTCATTATTATTATTACAGGTACTTGTATAGTGCAGTTAATTTACGCAGTGCCTTACATATGATGTACATTCACATTAGTCCCTGTCCTCAAGATGTCAAGATGCTTACAATCTAATGTCCCTAATTCACATTCATTCATACACATATTAGGACAAATTTACACAGGAGCCGATTAACCTACCAGCATGTCTTTGGAGTGTGGGAAGAAACCCATGTAGGCACAAGGAGACCATGCAAACTCCAGGCAGGTAGTGGTGTGGTTCGGTTTAAGGGGGTGTTTTAGATACTTGCTGCCTGCCCAACTGAACTGTCACAATAAAACCGAACAGGGCTGTACACATTTCACAGTTGCAATGCTTTTCTTTGCTGCCATGGATTTTTGAATTCAGGCTGCAGTTTGACAGGTGGCACCTCCTGTTAAACTCTTCCATTGAGATCAAGTGGGCTACATAATTGTAGCGCAGTCCCACAAATGTAAAAGTGACTTTTGGCAATTAAAAATAGTTGTCAAGAGAAGGAAGTAGTGCCACCTTAACACCTGTCAACCGCTGCTGTGATGGCCTCTATCCATTGCAAATCGCTTTAGAGAGAGGTAAGAACTGGAGCACACGTCTGAAAGAGTCCTAAATGGGTCCTGAGGATTCGGGAATCTTCATTCAATGATTTAGTTTGTTGCCTGCATTTTGTCATGTTTGCTCCTTTGTTGCCTTTGTATTGGAATAATTGTTCATTTTTGTATCGATATACGGTATGTATTATATCAGCTGCCCATTTCAGTTGGTCATAATTGCCCATTTCTTGCCCGCTTATCACAATTGCCTTTTTGTTGCCAGCTTATTGACACAATTGCCCATTTGTAGCCCACAAATTATAACAATTACTCATTTTGTAGCCCATGTGTTTTGCAGAAAGTCAATTTCCACCCAAATCACTCTGCTCATTCCCACCAGGGACAAATACCTTTTTTTTTTCCCCCCCCCCCCCCCCCCAAAAAAAAAACAATCTTCCCTTTTTAACAGGTTTAAATTTTTTCGCCTTTTTTTTTTTCTTTTTCATTAGAGTGGAATCATTCTTTACACAGAGCTTGGTGGTTGGTGTCATTGAGTCATAGACTGTCCCACCATGTCACTCAGCAGCAGGAGGGTCAGTCTTCGGGAGCCGGAGTTCCCCTGTGTGTCACCACGTGCTCTCCAGTCAGACACATAGTAAAAATAGCAGTCTGCCCTCTGGATGTGTGGGCAGCTTCCTGCCTCGAGGGGGTGAGGACGGACACACGGAAGCGCCACGCTGGATTAATAGAATCTTTAATTGAGTGGGGCTTACATCCAAGCTCCATAGTGGGTCACAGACCTGAGCAGTCACCATTGTGCGCAGCTTCCTGCCTGCACAAAAAACAACCCTTATCTATGGAGAACAGACTGACTGTGTGGATGGCCTGAGTAGCAGCAAGATCCACATACCGAGAATGGAACCAGACCATGCACTGAGTCAGCACACTGTATGGGCACTATGCTAAACGCAGGCTTATTTATTGCGATAGGGCCTCATGATGATGGTCTTGTAACCCTTTCATGTTTCTACAGCATTATGAGTGGTGCCACAGCAGTGTTTCTGACCCTAGTGATACCATCACCAAAACGCAACCACCATGGACGTCACTCCATCAATGGCAGAAACACGAATGCATCAGAACTGTTAGCAAGGGAGTTATGCCATAGATTATTGCGACTGAGAAACTCCATGAATGGCAAGTTGTTGCTAGTGACATGTTTGCTAGCGTGATGCAGTTCTATGGATAAATATAACAGAGAATGTGATTATGTGTGATAGAGGTTGTTACAGGCGCCTATTTTTTCATAAGATATTTTCTTTACAAGGTCTATAGAGAAGAATTAAAAAAAATAGCTTGCCTTCTATTTGTATAGTTGCTAATATTCCCAAGATCAATTTTGTGGACACTTTCCGGTTAACGGAAAAGATAGGTGTTTTACATACCATACTCTCTGTTGCGGAGGCTTGCATGCCACCCCCTGCCTGAAAGGAGTACTTGACAACTTTGTCAGTACAGTACAGGAATCTCCAAACTACAGCCCCAAGGTACATCTAGACCACTACAAGATTTTATTTGGTCCGTAGCTAGGTCCAGTGGCATATCTACAATGTGCACTGATTGAGAATTCAGATCAGCAGAGGCTTCCTATGGTCTCCACTTCAACCCCCCCAATCCCACAGTCTTCAGCACAGGTTCCCCCACACTGTACTGTTATTATTCCGTGGCAGAAGGAAAGAAAATAGAGTAATCTGAGGGCTGCTTTACAGTGGTAAGGGGAACACTGATGTCAGGGGGGATAATGATGGGGAGCATTAGGTAAACAGGGAATCTGATGTATGGGGTGCTCTGATGTAAGGGGGGCAATGATGTGAATCCTGATGTCCCATGAATATTTATAAAAAATACAATGTGGCCCTCTTACAGAGAATTTGGAGACCCCTGGTGTAAACTATGCCAATAAAATATAACTTGCAGCAGCCTACAGTATCATGAGACCTGAATTCTGATTGGCTGCTATGTTAAGGATTTTTTGTTCACCACAACATGTCACATTTGCAAAAGAAAGTATATGTGGATATCTAAAGCCACAATGTTTTTTGAAGTTTTTGATTGAGTAGGAAATTGTTAAAACCACTGGCATTTTTTTTTTTTGCCATCCGTGTCTTAGAAGGATTTCCATTTACTTTCTACCTTGTAGACTAAACAGGAAGTGAGAGGATGTCTTTCCAACGTGCATACCCCTTCTCTTGATCGCTGTCAGGAAAAAAGTGTCCACATTGAAAGATTTCCCCTCTATTACTGTTCTAGTGGCAACTCCATCAATTTTTATGAATCTATAGCAAAGTTTCTTACCTGGAGGTCCTGCCAATACCAGCACTTCTATTGCAGGCTGACACTGCT